ATATATATATATATATATATATCAAACTGGAAGATTAAAAGTTTGAATAGCATCTTCATTGGAATTATATTTACCTCAAGCTCTGCCAAGGAGGTCATATTTTCACCCCCGTTTGTCTGTCATCCACATAACACAAAAAGTTATGGACTGATTTTGCAGAAATTTTCAGGAACTGTCGGAAGTGGGCCAAAGAGGACAATGATTAATTTTTGGTGGTGGTCTGGAACAATAATCAATCAATTATCAATAATAATCAACAATTGCTGCCTTGGCAGAGGTCTGCACTCTCAAAGTGCTTTTCTAGCTTTGTTATGTTTTCCTTTATAATTTTTTCTCAAACACTTGCATTTGTGACTTTTAACTCTCATCTGCCTGGGGCTCTGCACATTTTCTGTATTTCCACATAAGCAGTTGTATTGTTTTTTATGTCTTTAAACATTATGTAATATTATTTTATGCACTGTCATCATTTTTCAAATATTGAGAGTTTCATAATGTGAATTTGAACTCTCATGGTCCTGAAACTGTAATTTTATTGAAGGGGTGGACCATCTTCTGGGTCTTCCTGAAGACAGTCAGGTTATTAAGTTTATATTGACTGGTATCTATTTTTTTCTGTTGGAAGACCATCAAAATGGAGGATGGATCAACATAGATACTTTGTAATACTGTCAGAAAATATCTCTGGGTCCGCTCCTGTTATTGACCATGTTACCTGTTGTGCAAGATTAAAATTCAGTGTTGACTGACAGTGCTATTATAAGCATTATTTATTATTGCATCAAAATTGACAAAATGACCTTTTTTGCATCTTTATTTTCTGTTTTTTTGTCTGTACATTTGACAGCTTTGCTGCCTTGTTATTTCAAGCAAACACATTTACTCTATCCTGGAACTCTACTTAACATTTTCCAGCCATTTTGAAAGAGTTATATTAAGGATACAGCTAGCTGTACATCAGGGGCGTGGCTCTTTGGGCGTGTCTGCCGGGCACTACCCACCACTTAAGTTGTCTGACGATGGTCATTCTAGCTTCCTGGGACTCTAAGGAACATTTTCCAGTTATTTTTTTGGAGTTAAATTTTGGGCATGCTAGCTGTACATTGAGGGTGTGGCTCTTTGGGTGTGTCTGCCGGGCACTACCCACCACTTAAATTGTCTGTCGATGGTCATTCAACTTTCCTGGGACTTTAAGGAACATTTTCCAGTTATTTTTTTAGGGTTAACTTTTAGGTCATGCTAGCCGGATTTCCACCCCCTATAAATCAGGGTCTGCCAGCCACACCCCACCACTCAATTTGTCTGTCAGTATCTATTTAATATATCTGAGACCATGCTGAAAGACCCCCAATAGGTTTCTAAGGGTTCTCCTAAAAAGTACTGCTAGCTGGATTTGAGGGGCCTTTGTTTTGGACCCCCCTGACCACACCCACCACTGGAAATATGGCAGACTGCCATTTTCATACATGGGTAAGCATGTAAGTCGTTGCCAGGTACAAGAAAATTGGTGATCTTTTCAGGCTTGCTCAACCCTCTGGGTTCCCGGACTTATTTGTAGCCAATGCAAAAAAAGGGCTAAAATTCTTTTTGGACTAGTATTTTTTTCTGTTTTTGACAATCATTTTCATATTTTACAGCAGATGTAGTACAGGCCTATGATCCCAAAAGCTAAAGCTGTACTGCAAATGCTGTTTAAGTTAATCTTTATTTTGCTGTGAAATTTTCATTCATTAAAGGATCATCCAGTAGTAACAGCTCAGATGTTCAGCTGCTGTCTGAGGAAGACGGCCAGCTCAGTCTTGTTCAGGTAGCCAAAGAAATCAGCAAATCAGTGAAGGAGAAAAGATGGAAGGTAGAGGATGTATCCCTGCAAAATGTAGAAAATTACCTACTAGGTATTTTTTCTTTGGTGTTTTGATTTTTATTTTCAGTAAGATAACAGAACGTAGCATGTCTTGGATTAAAAATCTTATATTGAATGTCTTTTTACTTTTCTGCATACTGTTTTATGTAAAACTTATTTTGTTTGTTAGTTTGACATGATATGTTTTGATTTTGTAATTTCACTCTGTCATATTTTTCTGATCTACTGTATCATATAAAGCATATATCAGAGAAACCTACACTGACTCCAGCTACGATTGACCTTTGTCAATATTTTTCTTTTTTTTTTTTTTTCAGAAAAGTCACGTTTTCCAGACCCTGATCTAGTGATTAAATTTGGTGCTGCAGAATGTTTAATGGGATTTCTTCCATGGCAAATTCGTCTCACTGAGTTTTTGTAAGTTGTCATTTCTTGTTAAGGAGATTATAAACTATTTGCTAGGTATACATTGCAGTTGCATTTGTATTATTATGTACTATTTCTAGGTGCAATATTAAATACTGGGGTAGCGCTAACACTCGCCAATTTAGCCAAATGCTAAAATTAGCTTAAATTGGCTAAAGAAAAAGGGCTTGATTTGACGTTTTAGACAAATTATAACCATTTTGACAACAAATTGACAAAAATGTGGTGATTTGGCTAAGTGAAAAAAATTGCTAGCGCTACCCCAGAAATACAGTTTATCCACTAGATCAATGATTTGTATTTGATCATTGAGAGAGATTCCAAAATCCATGACTTTGGATATAAGTATAATTCCTTTTCGAACAAGGGATCTACAGAATATATGGCATCACACTTAAAAGACATTTTGATCATGTTTTCAATGCAAGAATTGACCTTTTGCACATATTGATTCAATATGGTGTATGCTCTATGTGAACATTTGCGATGATGTTTCTGCTGCTCTATTTCAGTGTAAGTCCTTCCCACAGAGGTCTCTCCTACAAGACATTCCTATCCCTGTTACAAGACTATGGGAACACACAGCAGCGGTTTGGGAAGTGACGGCCATCACACTGTCACAACTCCTGTGTGTATGTGTACAGATACAATGAATAGTATATTATATCAAGTCTGAATACTCCAGAATGTAATGTGAATCTTGAAAGATTACATTTTGAAGGATGATAGTGATAATGTTTGAGGTACAGATATTTTTTGTGTATTCTTTTAAGAATGATGCATTATTAAATGATGCAGGTTATTTACATACTGTGCACAACTACAAATACTAACAAAAAGAATTTATATTTTGAATTATACATTTCATTAAGCCCAATGGTCATATAGAAACATTTGTACAAGTTTACGTCGGTCTGGTCTTTGTTTTGAAAATGCAGGTTCATTCCTTATTTGGATCTTATTGACATCATCATGGTGTTTCTTTATACAATCTGGAGAGGTTTGTCGAGTAAGTTCACTTGATATGTATAATTTTTATTTAGTATCCCAAAAGGTTATCAAGAAATAAAAATTATCACTTTAATATACAGTGGCATCAAACCCTAATAAAGAGGAAATGGTTTAACACTGAGAAGGTAACGGGACTGTATGAAAATGCCCGTTGCAACTATGCTTTTATCATCTTGTAACGGTTAATGAATGTTTGACAAAATTGTCTGGGACACCAAATTTTTGTAATATTTGTTTTTGTAGTTGAAATAGTCAGAAGAGTTTGAAATCTGTTTTAAATTATGATAGGCAATAAGACAAATACTAGAATCGACATTGAATTACAAGTCTCGTGTTATTAAAAAGTTCCGTAATCAACATCTGAGCTTGTGATCTTGTCTTATTTTCTGTTTTCCGTTTTGATGAGCAGTAAGCTCACATTGAATTGTATGAGTGCCACTTCAAATGTGGAAGGAATGATTGAGACGGAGTGGTTGTGCTTTTTTGCCATGCTGAGTGGGCTTCTTCATTTAAACTGCTGTTGAATTCCACCTGGGGTGGCAATTGACGTGAATATACTTTATCTGAAACTTTTATGAATCTTATTGCAGAAAGATACGTTGGGTCAATAAAGACTCTAAATATCGACAAAGTAGTTCTTTGTTTCTCACACTCATTGTTATCTTTGATGATCTCAAGAAAGAAAAAATTTAACGTGATGCTGAAGGTTATTAAAACAGAAATTGAATTCAATAGCAAATTAAAAAAAAATGTTACCTACCATGGATGACCTGGAATATTTATTTCCCCTATAAAAGCAGACACGTATTAATTTCCCCTATAAAAGCAGACACGTATGTGGGGTTCATGTGTATTTTCTTTTCCTTATTTTGTTTATGAAATTTGACATCGGTATTTTGCGTATGAAACGTGACCAGAATGCGCTATCGAAGCCGACCTACGCAGTGCATATAACACAATAATGTAATGGCGCTGGAGTCACAGACGTTATTATTGGTTCACTGATTACCTAAACTGGATAAACTTTACCTGTCATGATGTACAAAAGCCAATGACCATTTAGGTGCATTGATCACAAAAGAAAAGTTAAAGTTCGTAATGAGACATATTTTATGCGGCAAATATACTATGTTTTTCTTTTTCCATTACTTTTACGGTGACTGAATTAAGATTTGCTCCATGTAGAAAAGTGCCTGTTAAATTAGAAAAAAAAACCATACATTGTATTCACATGTTATTTGCCTTCAAGAAAAACTAGCTACAATCAGGTTTGGTCATCCTTACGGGCTAATAACACCATTATATATTTAGGGTGCTGTTCTTTAACGCACCTGTCTATGAATTCATCTTACTCCGAGGAGATCCATTATGATATGTTATTACAACCATGAATGATACCCTTATATTATGTTAACCCCTATGCAATGTTTTACATGTTATGTGCCTGTTAACAATAGCCTTAATAGGCTTTATCATGTCATATATTTTCGGTGTCTGGGCTTGCTGGTCAGGACCTCCATATTTAGGGAAAGTCTATAAACGGTTCTTTTCGCCAATATTCCTGTACTATAATTGAATTAATTTGTTGTGTTGTTTATTTTTAGCTCTCTTATTTAGAAATTGAGTACTCGACTATACTATATCCAACATGGGTTATTGAAAGGGATATAGAATTATAAATAAAATTAGTCTTTGTCTCTGGTACACGTAGAGCCGCACTTGAAAAGACTGGTGCACTTCGCAGGATGTTTGGAATGCGAATTTGCACTGAAAAAGTGCACGCCTGACAGATTACCAACGTAAGAGGACATGGTTTATGATCACAAGCCTTAGCACACAGACAGTCACAGGTATATGCGGCAGAACCAATGTTCCGTTTCAAACCAACTTGAGTTGGCCTTACTCGGTGCGACCATCTGAGCAGGTCGAATGATGACGACAATACAGACAGCAAATCAAATCCTTCTGTTTGGATGGATTCTTTTGGAAAGCTTACCGTAACCGGACGGCGTAATGTGCTGCACTGGGTTAGGATGACCCAAGTTGGGTTGAAACGCTGCTTATCAAAAGTGTTTAAAAAGGTACCAAAGAATAGAGGAAGGTGTGGAGCTCGGTCTTCCCACAAGCGTATCTCAAAAGAAGATTATATTCTTGATTGAATCTTGGATCCTACATTGAACGTATCTTTTGATATCACGGGTAATAACAAATAAATCCCCCTACAAAAAAAGAACTGCATTTCATCCCTTTACTAAGTGTGTGTTCATGTCTTTGTTACCTTACATATCTCCGGTTAATAGGAGTATTTTCAAATTTAACGGCTCCTTTGAACGCCTACACTCCAGAATTATACAGACTCAACTAGCTTTTGGTTATCTTTTATTTAAACAAAATTAAGTTATATTTCATTTACAAATTAAAAAGTATATACATAGTATTATCGCCATATGGACCTCGTGTCATCCCTGTCACGTAGCGCAATAGAATGCATAAATTGCCATCCAGTGTGTGATTGTGATCAAAAATGGAATAACCATCCCAGACAAATAGCTCTTTTATACATCTTCTCAACTGTATTGTTATGGAACAATGGAGTACATAATTCACATATCTCTGCATACAGTAAGCGTTCTAAGATATTTGCACAAAAGAAAAGGCCGTCCATGTATGATGCTCTACATTGATAGAACCCATCTGGATCATAAGCTATCTTAAATAAAAGGTGGCTCATCATACTAAGGAAATCGAATTCGGGATAAACTGCCTTCACATCGGGGGTACTAGATCCCACTACTGATGTTTAAGGTTGCCCAATTTCTATGGCAACGGTTTCTGTCAATGCACTGAACACTTAAATCAGGGACAACAGAGAGTTTACCTTAGGGGTATTGCAATCAAGTCTTAAGCCAGAACTGAACCTGATATAACCTGATGCAAACGCAGCTAGGATATATCATGGACATAACTTCTTTCATGCATTACACATCTTGCAATGCATCAATGTTCCATGTAATGTACTCTATACGGACTCCGACTGGGTATAACGGTCCACACAATACGGACAATACACACTACTTTCTAGGTATATGTACTTCCGAGATTATGGTGTCTGGCATCTTGCTGTTATAGTTATTTAAAACTAATCATTTGGCACAGAATAAATGCGTTCTTAAAAAACATATACACTTGTTTACATCACATAATTATGTACAATAAAGCTCGGAAAACGCTCACGACTCCTTCCTCGTCAAAACAACTGCCACGTCAACAGTGGTCTCTAACCATTCCCTATAGTGAATTTGATATGAATATGATAAATGGGAAAACTGATGCTCAACATCTCAACACTTTGTCCCGTTTTCATTGGTCACAGTGACTTCCCACTGTTTTTGTTTGGACCCTTTTATCACGTGCTCGGGTTTGCGAATATCGGGCAGCTTTTCTGCTTCTTTTCGAGGAACTTTTCTTTTCGCTGGCGCACAGATGCAAACCACGCCGATAACAAGAATTAAAAGAGCAACCAGCCCCAGGCCGGCCCCTATTAAAATACCCAAATCTATTGAAGTAATGAAGTCAAGAATACTGTTAGACGTGCTGCCACTGTCATTATTTGCGTTCTTTTTATAGTTAATATTTGTGCTGCTCTCGGCCTCCGGGATATTGTCCAGCAAGGAGCCGTACTGTTTTTGGCATAGTGGTACTGCTCGTGGCACTGAAAAGAGAAAAATCATCATCTTGAATATTGTGACGCTAAACAGAGTAGAATTGAAAATACTTATATGTTATCCATGCTGACTTCTTATTGTTTTTTACCGTGGAATCTCAAAGGTAAGGACAATGCGATACTTTGATTCCCCTAGTCTAAATTAATCCTGTTTGAGGTACATATTTTGGATATGATATGTGAAAGTTGGTCAACTTAGATATCTGTACGTAAGGACCGAGCCCCGGGGTTCGGACCACGAATTACTCATTGAATCTTGCTATTGTATCACTTTCCAGTTGATTTGAAGTACATATTTAGCTACTGATGGCCCTTGAAAAACTTTCTTAGAAGGGCGTTTACTCAAAGTATTAGCCTGCATTTTACAGTAGCTCTCGGTAAGAATTATGATTTTTACAACATTTGGCTAACTTCTCACGGCTTTTGCGCCTTTATTAACACATCTGTTAAACCCCTCGTGGTTGTGTTGTATCAACAAATAAAGGCGAACAAATTTGATCTTGTGATAATCTACATTAGGCTCAAGTATGTAGTAAGTGCGAATTAGTGTCTTATTTACATGCCCAATGCCGTCTTTTGGAACTTCTATCCACAACGACAGCTCTGATTGTGCCAGCATTAAGACGGCAATCAGATCGTCTTTTATACCACAAAGAAGGAGCTCCGGGCTACAAGAAAAATAACTCACCTCCGACTCCTGTCAGTGGTATGCCTGGGTCCCATCCCCTTCGTAATGACTCTGCTATATAGTTTGTCACCATCTCCGCCGTTTGGAAGCAATAAAGATCGCAATTGGCGTTGGCCAGTTTTAAATAGACGGCCGACCTTAAAGAATAAAACGACACAAGTTAGATAACTTGAATCCCGCCAAGGGTTTGACGTTTGCAACACAAAAGGCTTAGCGTGTATAAACAATATATTATACACTCACCTTGAGTACAAGAATCAGATATAAATCTGACGACTACTGTGACAAGCAATCCATTATATAAGAAGAAGGTGTCGTGTTGCAGTGTGAATAATATCAAATAATGAGATACAACCTACCCGCTTTTCAAAATTTTCCCGTAGTCCTGCCAACGGTAGTCAATGGAGGTATTTTTTAAATTAGTCCAAGGTATTATTGCATAATTGATATAATTTTCCAGTTTTGTGCTTGTTGTCCCTGAAAGGTAAGTTCTAAACTGAAGATCCTGGTCTACAGTGACAATAGTTCTTAGCAGACGACTGAGGCGCCACAGAAATGCCTTAAGATCCACCTTTAATACATCAGGCTCCTGAGAAGTCACGGCGACAAATTTACCGTGAAATACGTTGGGTGTTTGTCTGCTCGGGCAATCCCCGCCGTCGTAGGCACAGCCTTCTGCGCGGCAGCCCCGGTCGCACACTCCGTTGGCGAAACTTCGACGGCAGTAGTTGTCGTATAAACGATTGCATGGCGCAATTTTCCGACGACAGTCAAACCCATCAAATAATTCTTCAGGTCCGTTGCACTCGGAGTCACATTGTCCATTGAGGAATTTACTTCTACAAGTGTCACTGTATGGCTGGCAAATTACTTGAAAAAAGATAAAGCAGAGGTTAGTCTACTAGTAAAATAAATTTGCGACACTAATACTTTTCTTTTCTTTCAGTGAAAGTTGCGTTGACATTGTAGTAACGTAACTACAAATTGGCGATATATTTTACTTAGCACTTTAAAGTGATTTTAAAAACACACCATTGTATCTCGAATGAATGAAATTTGACATGTCTTAGATAAAGACGACGGTTAGGGAGTAGGAAGTGAATTGGAACAACACGGGGAGAGTTCAAATGGAAAACAAGACGTTTGTATCACTTACCGGCTTCTCCCTCCAGGTTGAGGCACACTTGTGTGGAGACAGTCACCGTATGTTTGTTAAATCCGTGACCGACACACTCAATGTGACATGAATATTTCCCCAAATCTGCGGGCTGAACGCTTCTTATTCTGAGAAGCGACACGTACTCTCCAGCCATGACTCCCCAGCCGGCGGTCCACACACCATACTTATCGGAGTTTTGTACGCCGTCTATCTTCACACCATTCCGTGTCCACTGGATTGTCTTCTCGTCACAGGTTTCGTTCAAATCAGATTCCAAGATTCTAAATACTAAGTCCAAAGTTCCTCCTTTGCTGCTAATGCTTTGGCAGGGCTGGTGTGGACTAGGGAAGTAGTACGAACCTACGGCAACAAATAGAAGGAAAAACGTGAATACCTTGGTCAACATTGTCCTGTAATACATAGTGTTGTCATCGTTCACGGTAGGTTGGAAACTGACCAACGGCTACAAGAGCAAGCACTCTATAATACTCAAATAATCCTCAAAACCGCCAACCAATTGCCTTTGAACGACAATTACTATCCATTAAGTGGGTCTTCCTGCTCATCTGGCTGCTGTTATGGCACAAAGCTGTACCCTGGGGGTAGGACTCAGGGACAGGTATGAAAAGTAGAATTCAGATGACACTAATTGAGAGTGTCACATTAAAATGGCTAACTTTAACTGAAGAGGAGGGTTGTGGTGACAAGCACTGGCTACTTGAAAGCTCTTCACGTGGGCAAAGTGTGAAGTAAACCTAGGTGTTTAGGCCGGCAAGGGGCTGTGAAGTGGCTAATACGTGCAGATCGGCAGTGAATAGGTAATTTTGACAGAATTCGCATGCGTAGGTGCAATCCCCTATACAAACTCATTAAAGGAGCTTCCAGTAAGAGGAACATATGGCGTATTGCCTGTTTCACAAATCCACGACGCTACTAAATTGGCCACTTTAAGCCTCCTTTTATTACTATCATTACTGATGCAATTTCGATAAATGCTCACGCTGGTTTCACTTTGTCACTTGTTTGAAAACATTGGGCAGCGACGGCAAATAGCCCAATTATTACCCATGAAAGGGGAATAATCGAAAATTCTACAGATAATAGAAGTTTTACTAAACGATGACAGCCCCCCCCCCCCCCCCCCATCCAGTTCTTGCAGGAAGACAGGTAAATGAAGGGCCAGATGGCTTGCTAGGTAGGGCAGTTAACAGTTCCACTGATTATTTAATTTGTTGTTCCGCATAAATGATCTTTTGACAGTTTGGATCCCCCACCGTTCGGACCGAGCAAGGCATCCGCCAGAAATGGTAGCGAGTGTCGGTCTTGCACAACCGAACCGTAGGGGGTTTACCCAACAGGATTTCCACACAATAAGATTTTGAAATGAAGATAGCTGATATTGTTGACGTCATGGTCACATCCTGTAATTAGAAATTGCAGTACAATACGTACACAAATGGGCCCAGTACGTTCAGGAAAATACTAATAATAGCGGTCAAGTGACATTACGACTCTTATTTAAGTTTGTCGAGTTTTTATGGCAAAGTCTTTCAACATCGTTACTAAAAAATCTTCGCTTACAGATCACGACATTTTTTTCTACACTTCTCTATGTGTTTGTCTTTCCCAAACCAATTACAAGGCCTAAAATTACTGCACCTATTGTCATCAGTTAATGTACTGGACAAAGAGTCTTTTGACATTAACTGTTTAAAAAGATTGTTCATTTATCGTGTTCATTTTCATCACCTGCCGGGACCACCTCTTGCCACCAGAAAGGCTCACTTAACCGGCCCCGGGCGATTTTCCGCCTATCTTATTGGTTTGCAGTTTACGATAATCTGTGGCAGGGTCAAATGGAAACGATGATTTATCTTTGTGTTAGTAGGTGATTTCAAGAATCCTTTTACTTGGCAAGCAGGTGCGAGCTTGACGATGTCAATGCAATGCCGTGCGGCAGCCAAGAGCTTCAGTTTTCTCTATTTAAAGAAAATAGTTTTCCGGTGGTTTCAATAGCGTTTTTATTTGTTGTAGTTGGATTATCTGGCTGTGTAATCTTTTAATCTTCGATTCTTCTAGCGGACAAAATTTGTCGAAACATCAATACATTGACACGGTCTATTCAAAAACATTCTTTACTCACGTAGACCTTCGATGTTTGATTTTACCTCAGCAAATAAACAGTGTTAGTTTTATGGGTCCGAGTTTTGTTTCACGCATGCGCTGCAAAACGACAGATGTTGGTAAGCCACGTGCATAATCGTGATTTAGAAGGAGTATAACAAATTCATTATACTTTATCAAAGGCCTGATTCAAGTTCACTTACAGAATGCTGCAATAATATGGAAACATTCCAGATTAAGGCGGAGATATCCGACCACCTGCCTTGAACTGTTGCGTCACCTATCGACGAAAGAATTAAGATTAAGTTCTCAAAGACAATTCGTGTGGCAGTGATCGTCCAGGCATAAGTCAAATTACAATTAAAAAACTACCAAATCATTTTTATATATTCACGGCGACGCAAATACCAAACCGGGCTCAAGATGGAGCAGTGCTTTTACGGAGAGTTCTATATCGTTGTCGCCCTGAGTCGCGCGGTATTTGCTGTGAGACAACAAGGACGTGGGGGGAATATATATTCCCCAAAAAAGCAATTTCATCTCCACTGCAACAGAGTGCTTATCATGAGTCATTTTAATATATAGCGCGACCTGCTGTTTTGTGACTCTTTATCGCTGTAAAGGTTGAAACGAGGCCGAGTCAAATAAAAATGCCCTTAGACTTGAGCTACTTGACCCAACTTTGAGTTGTCTTCCAAGTGAATTCCTACATTCAATCTACACGACTAGTTAAGCACAAAATCTAAAATCTCAAATTTGAATTAATTTCAAAGTTATACAATTCCTATCAATTTCCCCTGACTTCTAATTGAAATATACAAGCAATTGTTCAAAGTTTGGTGAAACATTTCCAAATGGGAAAATGCAAATATCACCCTCACAAATTGAGAAAAAAAAATAATAATAACATTTACATTTTATCCCATTAAACTCAATCGTGGGACAATAACGTTAACTTGTTAAGTGGACTGTGCGTTGTTTTCTGTGGTTGAAGCTTCTGTTGCACCGTTAGACTAAAGTAAATACAGAAACGTATTTGATAGATTTGAGGGAGGTGAATAAAAGTAAATAAAGTTATCGGCAGCGATCAATGCGCCAAAAGAGCTCGCGTGTGAACACGCCAGGTGCAAGCTATCAAAGCATAAAGCACTGCTAGCGTACACCGAGGTTTTCATTGAGCAACTGAAATGTACGGTCAGTTTTGATTGTGCTCAGTGGATACGCCACGAGTCAAGATGTAGATAAGGAATAGTTTACAACACACGACTCGCGCAACGTCAAGTTGGCAAACACCTTTGAAGGGGATTGTTGTCTTCACCTTTTATCAACCGGCCAACTGAGCACGTTCAATTTGAGACTAAGTCAATAGAAGTTTTCCAAAACATCAATAAAGAGTCTAACCACCCAAAAATATTCCATCTGCTCTCATCGGTCTTTTGTTCAATTTTGCAATTCTTTTTTGGAATGGGTCTTAGATTCGGGGGGGGAGAGAGAGAGAGAGAGAGAGAGAGAGAGAGAGAGAGAGAGTCATGTTACTCATGCGTGACAAAAATTGCATCTCTTAAAATCCAAGGATGTAATAAAAGAGACTTAAACATAACTGTCCAATATTGCTCAGTATAGTGAAAACGTCATAAATGTCCCATATTACTTTTTGTTGTCTCGTACAAGACCATCGTAAATGTCAGTGCCTACGGGACAAAGAAAACCTTATGTTTTTATTGCGTTTACAAATGTCTCCATTTGTGAAAAAACATATGGAGGTATTACTGTAATTGTGGATAATAAACAAAAGACCCTTAAGCGAAAGCTGCAAAGCTGGCACGCTTTGTGGTACCTTTTTTTTCTGTTTGTCAAGCGGTACGGTATACTTCAAACCGCGCAGCTGCTGCGGTGGCAATGGAAAGACCTCAAAAGTCGACCAGAGACGAGACAAATAGCCAAACTTTAGCTGTAATTAAAATACACGGGGCAAAATCGTCGACTTTACGTACATGTACCATTAAGACCTTAAGGGTCATGCCACAATAATTCACTGTCATCCTTTCCCTCTGTCGTTTCCTTGTAAATTTACCTCTACTGGACAAGAGAGATATGGGTTCTCAAAAGATAACTCACCACACCTGCATCTGATATGGACCATAAAACGTTTTATGATTTTCAGCTTCATTTCAATGAGTTGCGTTTTTATAATTTACTATCCTTTGTTTTATATCGAAAAAGAGTTAATGGTAACAGGTTTGCACGAACGCGCATGTTCGTATGTGTGTGTGTGTGCACCCTCATATGTGTAATTAGGCATTTTGATACAAGCAAATGTTAAAAAACATAGTGTTCCAGTATAACGCCACATTATTGCTACACAGACAAAAATAAACGCACATAGAATATTCATGGTCTTATGGTTTTCAGGTTAATTTCAATATTTATAATTAGGACACCAAAGTGTATTCAGAACTCGCGCCCACCCATTAAATGACCATGAATATGTTTACACGGACAAAGTCGAGGGCGGCGTGAACGCTGGCTGCGTCGTTTACACCACTTTTTCGCACCCTTTATTCAAATCAGCATGGAACAGCCCTAAGTCGAAAACTAAAAAGACATCTGATCATCTAATTCGTGGGTTTGGTTCTGGACGAGCCGCCCTCCCCTATGCCATGACCTGTGCTGCTTCATTCGAATGACACTATCCTAATCATAACTGAGGCAACATAAAGCCTAAAATTACACTCCTAGTCTTCTGAACAACGGCCTCCGCTCTCAGCTTTCCTGCCCTCTTCCAGCTTATTTAATCCTAACAACCCACAAATAGACTGGCGAATTATAATTTATTGCCAGAAATTAGAGCGTGTCAAAGTGATTTAATAAAATTCTCCTCCTTTCCAAATCTATCTCTACTTTATGTGTCACTCCCTTTAATAAGACTTGAAGAAGGCCGATGGTACACTATGGTTACAGGTTGAGTGCCGAGACAATTTACGAGACACCTGGTTTACTAACTACCATTGAGTAATGTGTATGGCGTTGTCGTAGACCTTCTTTTGTGAAACTCTATCTAACAAAGCTTGATGTAGGTAATAGACTTGCTCAGCACTCCGGTAAACCCAAACTAATTCCGCGAGACAGGATGAGAATGTTTCAGATTTATTGTGTGCTCTATTAAACAATCAGAACGACGAATAGTTTCCAAGCGACGGTGAAACCTGCCGGTTTTATGTCATCTCCACAATGACAATGGACAACCTACTACGGCCACAAAAGACAGAAAAGCTTCGTCTACCTCATTTTCTGAAACGTTAGAAGACGTGACCGGCGTGCCAAGACGCCGTGACACATCGCCTGTGAGGTGTTAACCCGGCCAAATTGGTCCTTGGGTATTTTTCTAATTAAACTGATATCAATCCCTCTGATTTTCAGACAGGAAATCGTGAGAAAGAATTGTTGAGAGGAAATTCAGACTGCCAAAAAAATCATTCGACACCCCACGACGTTAGTTGTACACATTTTCCCGTTTTTTCCCCCTTTTTAACAGAAAAGGTTGGAGGGAGAATCGAATGTCTTTTGATAAATTTAAAAGTCGAATACTGAGAAATGATATTTTGCAGCGAGATATACTGATAACTAAAAAAGCTTGTATTTTGATATGAATGCGTGTTGGTGCGACCGCGTGTGTGTGTATGGGGGGTGGGTGGGTGAAAGCATCATGCTGAAAATAATATTCAGAAATGTTGTACGCTATACTGTCTTAATACACCTTGTAAAGAATTGACTTATTATACCCTGTTTTTTTTTTGGGGGGGGGGATTTATGAAAAATCAAAAATGCAATTCAAGCTCTGTAGTGAAAATATTAACTTTCTCGATACTGCAATACATGTCCAAATTAAAAAGTAACCTATCAGCCATTTCAGAGTTGCGTAGGCTCCCACTTTGGAAAAATCAGTTTTTGAAGTAGACATTAAAAAACTATATTGTGAGCACCTGCTGAAGCTCGAGACACTGTATTCTGAATATTTCTAACCCCGATAAGTCATCGTCCTAGTGCAGATGCGCCGACTTCAACCAAGCCATAATACCTAATGTACTCGCTTGGTTACATACTTAAGATGCAAAAATGTGTGATCCACATATCAAAATGGAGGTGATGCCCTCACTCTCCTTTCAATGCCTGCACAAGACACTTCATATTTTCCCCATTGATCCTCCATTACCAACCAGACAGTCAGCTCATCAGTGTATATAAAACCTCGCCTTTGTGTTGTGAGTTGTGTAGTTTTTCCATAGGATTCCCACTTTGTATTGTATCGCTGACCTGGCCTTGGCGTATTGTCAGGACCTGAATAAACGACTTAGAAAAGCACATCCTGAGTTCAATAGGGCCTGAGGGTCGCATTCACACGGAGTTGAAAGAAAAGACTGAGAAAATCCCTATCATATTTGCCACTTCCCAATACTCTTTCTTAAGAAAAATAGACATTTCCTCTCCGCCTATTTAAAATTGAATTATCACAAATATAAAATGAGAGGTAAATCATGGCGTTTTTTTTTTTCAGAAAAACATTTGCAAGAAAGTTGAACAGTCTGATAGATTTATTAAATACAAACAAGCAAAAATTTAAATCTTTTGAAACACGCGAGCTCGTCTGTGCAATATCCTATTCTACAGAAAAATATGCCGTGTATTCTAGTACTCCAGACTGTGTAATAGAATATGTCGGTAAATTGCACCGCACCACTTCATCTTTATGCAAAAAATGTTGACAAACGAAGCAGGTGCAGATTTAATGATATTCTCCGTCCAGATTTCACGAGCTTTTAAGCAAACTCTTTCCCACAAACAATTACTAGTGCCTTGTAGTCACATTAATCACATGCACGTCAGTTTTATCGAAAAAATCAACCAACGTCAGACCCGGTAGAATATATTGAGAGAAAGGTGACACTAAACTGAAATATTTTATGCAAATAACAACATTTCAAGTCATGATTTATGGAGAATGAAGATCATACTGTCTTTGAATTATATAGTAGGATAAGAAGAGCACAGAGACTCGTCTGCTTCATTGCGCTTTGAGATAAGGGCCCGCGCGCTTAATTATCATTACGGAAAGGTGCAACCGTATATCTCTGACCTGGTGCATTGAGCAAAAGTTCCTTATCTGAACTGAGAGATACCAGTAGACGTATTACTTATCTCAGTAGGAAATAATCATTAAATGAGAATAAAACATTGCCGCATGCCATTTTTTTTTTACTTTTATCTATCGATCTGAAGAAGTTATCAAGACAAAATTTTGATACTGTTAAAAGTTTCCGCTACATTAGTTATGCCTAGGACCCACTACTAAACAACATGGGCCTATGTTATGCGAAGTACCACTGATTCTCCACTTGGCGTCGCGCCAGCTATAAAATAAATGACATCTCGTGTTTTCCAGACCATCTGCCTTTTTTTAATCGGCGCCTTGTAGAATCGTCATGTAGAGATGACATCTTTCACTGCTCTGCGACTCCCGTTCCCTTTTGACGGGATGCCACTGACGACCCCTCGCCAGGCACGTGCATAGTCCAAACACGCCATACGTTATCTTTCAGAAAGTATAATTTGGTAGTAAAGATGCAGATTTTATTTCGTGACCAAGAGCAGTAATACACGTTTTCATCGCAGACACGCTTATTGCGTTGTGCCTACTGCCAGAATAATTTGTCATTTCATACCACTATTCATTTCATTCATTCATTTTCATCTTGGTTATTTTTTTTTAGACATCACCGGCATATTTACTCGGTAGAAATGCACCAGGTATTCGCATCATAACGTTATGAGTGTTTCAGCATTGTAGTGGGACAATCACTCAAATTCTTGCACGTATTTGCACAGTTTTATGTTGCAGTCGATTGCTTTAATGGAGAAAGATTAACACCACTTGTACATTGCTTGCAGAGAAAAAATCATCTAGTGGAAGCGCTTAAAATATAAAAAGCACCTAACTTGATTTATACAACGAACTTGAACCCAGCCGTTCATGACCGTTATTGGACGAACAACAGGTACGGACTGAAGGCGTCTTTCTTCAATAAAATCACACCTTTTGTTTAAATCTATGCATTCTTCAAATTAAATAAAAGCCGAAACAACAAATTTTGGTTTTAAAATCAACCTTAATCCTTAAAGGAATTTATCTTTTATAAAACCAGAAGCGAGATCTTTGGAATGGTCCTTTTAAGAAAGAGACTGTTGCCACGCCACAAATTTCAAGGTGGTCTTGGTATTCAGTGTGTCCCAAATATCTTCTCACTGTGTTCACTTGCTGATATAACTAAATTGTAACACAGGTTTTAGTCATGTGTCGCCTTATGGGACAATCCCCCGAATTGCGAAGTCAGATTACCCCGATAATCCACTATGCCACTGCCACCGTTTCGACTTTCACACGGTCGGAAAGCTTGCTTTTCAGCTATATCGCCGTAACCTTGCAATCCAAACGATGTTAGAGATAATTCCTAAGCCACTAACAGTACTGAATGTCAATACAAAACGCAAGGATTTTATATCAAATCTCGCTGCGTATTAATCGTGTTTTTGGAACGCTCCATGAGGCAAATCTGTTAAGCGACACTATTTATGCTGTTCGTGGGATGGGAGACTTACAACCCGAGTGGCAGTGGTATAATAGGAATGCCCGCATTTCAATGTCAACGTTAATAGCCAAACTACTGTCAATTCTTTGAGCGTAATCAGTTAGACCGAACCCACATAATCCCCCCTGTACTGTCAGTGTTGGAACTCGAATATGACAGCATGAATGGGGGCCTAATTGAGATTTTATTCACTTATGAATAGTCCGGGGCCTCGTTGCCCAACCTCGACCGAGAGATACGCTGAGGTAAACAGTGAAATGGTTTTACTGTGGGACATGAGGGGCGACTTATGTGCTACTGTCAATATAGAGAGTAAACACCAAAAGGGGGACAAAGTTGTTAAAGAGAATTCTTTTCACACACCCCTTGTTCTTGTACTGAGTACACACACTAGTTAAGTTAAGAAGCGCCCATACCGGACTGACTTACCTGTGCTTTCTGAGGTTACGAAGCGTAACAATCCAAGGACGACAACACAGCTGAAGTCCCACATTTCTGCTTTTCCTTTCTATCTATCCAAGAAGTCGCCTTCTCTGACTAAATCGTCCCATGTCTTAACCTTTTTTCTTGCTTGTGCCTTCTACTATGAACGCTGTTAACTATGTGCTTTTTTAGTGGTACTACTTGTGGAGCGCTCTGCGTTATTGACTGGTCGTTACTGAACTCGTGGGCCGCGGTTGACACAGATCATCTTACAGGGATCAGCCGCTTTCGGGTGACACGGAGCACTACGCCGTCAGTTGCGGTTATACAGCTCGTATGTCAACTACAGTGCTGTCGTTTGTCAGCAATGGATAAGGGCAGAATATAACAGCCGCCTTCCCCAGAGATGTGCTTTTTAGGAAGAATGAAAAATGAACTTAAAATCCTTGCTCACTTCTAAACTCAGGTGCACCTTTTTGTTTTGTCACTGGAAAACGGCCACGGTGAATGTAAAATATCTACTTAGATGGTATTTGAAAAAGTCGCTGAAATTTGAATTTTATCTGCTGAAGCGTGGCTGTCTACCACAGACGTTCTGCGTTCCGTTGTCAAGTTTCCGCCAGCCACATGGTCCCGGCCTTGATTTAACTTAAGTTATGAATCACGGCCTCCTTATCAGCAATTCAACGAGGAGATGTAGAAAATCACCCGTGCGAAAATGACAGATGGTTGCGGGCCACCTATCCCATAAGCCCCTAACTCGGCTCGTTTTCTACCCGAGTCGAGATAGTGGATGCAACAAATACTTCTTACAGCGTCCCGAACAAAACGCTATTGGTCCTTGTCGTTTGGTCTGTAAGACTGATAGACAGAGCAAACACTCAATATCCTTACACAAACAAGCACAGTGATTGGCTGTTTTTGATGCATCTAGGACACCAGGTCTTTATCAATGGAAAGTATTTGTTTGAGATCTGCCCTGATTTTGTTAGGTAAATAATTGCAACACCTGTGTGTTTTCTTTGCCATCCGCGCGCGCCTCTTTAGAAAGTTCCCTCTAATACTCGCGCGCCTATCTGTAGAAACTCCCCGCACGGCAGACTGGCAAAATAACCAACATATGGATATTAATAATATACATTTTAGAGAGGGGAGGGGTCATCAATATACAAAGCGTTCGCGGGGTATTAATGCCACTAATACCCAATTTACTTGATTTACTTTCATTAGCCTTTTCGTTCCTTTGGCGCATTATTCAGAGAGGCTTTTCATACTTTTCACTCCACTGCCATCTGTGGCTAGGATTGGATAAATAGTGCTTAGTCCGTATTATACCAATCCAAAATATTTGCCTTCCAATCAGCAATGGAAACTTCCGCCTGAACGGAGGGGTTGATTTACAGGGCTTTAATTGTGTTTTTAAAGAGGTTCGTTGACACTCAGCGGGGATAAGTAAATCTCTTTAGTCTTGTAACCGTAAGTAGCGTACCTTAATCGAGGTGCCCTTTGAACACGAAACTACGCCATACCTCCAGAAAGACACGAAGATTAGCAGAATTAATTCCACTCCTAGCAGGGGTAGTCATGTTAAACAATACCAGTCGTAAATAATCTTTCAAGCAACAAACAAGATTACATTACTGATAAACAATTATTCAATTTAGAATGGACAATGCATTTGATCAAAAAGACCATTTTTAGGTTTCAACAATCATGGATTTAACCTATGTCAGTGATATAGAAGTCGAAAGTTCAAGTGGTAGACGTTTTAAAACTTCCTCATTTTACTATTTCCCCTGACACTCTTATCAAAGATTCAGGCATAGAATATGAGATATGAAATCGCGCTGTCTATTAACTGAGATAAACGTTTGTATTCTATGACCTACCACGGGAGCATATCTACTGAAATTTATACTGAAATATAAGTTTTTTAATATAATTTTCAAAAACTAACCCTTCGATCACTTACAGAGTGATTATACCTCTACTAATTCTATAGCATGTAGAAAGAAAAATTCAGGCACGTTTTCTGTTTTTATTTATACGCAAGATTTGATGTCTTTGCAATGACTTATGTTCCCGCATAGAAATAGTGTTGTGCACGGACGAACAAGAATCTAAGGGCTGGCTATATTGCATTCAAATTGTTAACGTGTCATAGGCATTACGCATGACAGAGCAAAACACAACAGCGTGTGTCCGGGCGCATGCTTCAAGAAGCAATACGCGACAAGGACCCTCGTAAAACAGCGACTTCCTGTACTGAGCAGTCCCCAGACTTTATCGAATCGTCACTTGTTTTGTATCATCGAAAATGCGTTAGGAGAGCAGAAAGTTTTCCAAGACAATGACGAAATCACAGCCATGCATGAATAATTACAATTGATTAATAAATGTGATGGTTTGTGCTTTATTTGTCCTGGTAAAAAATTAAAATTGATTTCAAACTTCAAATCTTGAAACAGGATTGTTGGAATTTATACCGACTTCTTAGATCTTCCCATTTTCTTATTTACAAAATCTGCGAGTAAGTTTCAAGGGCATATTGCATCTTTTCAAGTCATGTTCTTCGCAAAATCTTATATATGCAAAAAAATATGTTTCGTATACGTTTCGGTTGTTTTAAGATAAGGCAATTCACCAACGGGTAGCTGGTGAGGATGTAATTGCCGATAAAGTCAAAATTCACTAAATATCTTAACCCAGATCCTACAAATAGTCTCCTTAGAAGAACAATCGGTAAGCTACTGTTTATAAGTTGCTTATTTCATAAAAGTTTTGGCCCTATGTCTATAGGCTGTTGTCGTATGTAACCTTTATTTCTGTTTGCCTTTGCACGCACGTCACGTACCACCCTGCTCTATTTCTCTGCTAGAATGCGACTCTGCATAAAAGTGGCCCATCAACGACGTCCATGCTACACCTTGTTATGTAAATATTTCCACCATGAGTAAAACTAACGGTGAAGACAGTGGGATACCCATGCAGCGTTTGTCTGACTCGGTCACTCCCTCTGCCGGTCAAATAACAGAGAGTGAAGCCACGATAAAGAATCCAGGTAAAGGAAGTGAACTAGCTTTTGAGACCCAACTAGAATCAAACATTTATCTTCTATCCTAGGTCGCAACTATAACCTTGACAGCCTTCAGTATTAGTTTGTTACTCGACAGTGCAGGCCAAAGGCCATTAATATGTAGTCGTTACACCAGTAAAAGGAGCATCGTCAAATACCAAAACAAGGCCATACAAAACTTATAAGTTGGTTAACGAGCGGCAACTCTCTGTAAACAGGGTCAGTAGTCATTTTTTTCCTGATTTTTGTAATGATTCAAACACTTGATGTATAATGAGGGAAGCAGCTGGAATACAGGGTCCCTATTTTTCTATTTTAGTCTATGGGGATGCATTTTTCACTTGAAAAAAAAACATCTGATTTCCTCAAAAAATTGGATGGGTCTCGCTCATTAACTAACTCATCATTGAACGTGTTTTATCTCGACATTTAAGGTTTTTTAAAAAAGAATATCAATATCATATTTACGTATGGAATGCTGACAAAAATCTTCACTTGTTATTTTATCATAATAAAGGCAATGCTTATTGGTCGCCATAACAAAGAGTCAAGTCACACAGGGTGGCTTTCCCAGTCTCCAATGCAGTATAGCTATGGAATGCATTGAATCGAGATTATAATTCTTTTTTCCACTTTTTACCAATTATTTTAAGAAAAAGATAAAGTTTTACAACAAATCCATTAGCACAATATTTATGAATATAGGAAGCAAAGACCAAACATCCCTGTATTCCTTTGACCACTTAATTTTTCAGAAGACACTCTATTCTCAAGATGGTGCTTGTCCTTGACACTTGCCATTCTCTGTTTTGTGAGCATCATTGCTATCACCTGTGCTGCGGTGGCTCTGTCCCGTCCACCAGAAGCTACAGTCACCATAGAAGGTGACAACAGAACAGTGTCATCTAGCCAGCAGACGGAGACACTATCGAGCTCCAGTACAAGCGGTGGCTCGCAAGGCGCCAAGAAAAGAATATGGTTGGTTGCAGTGGGGACACGACTATGGAGCACATGATTACATGTAGGTTTTTCTTTACTCTTGGATACAGTTTACTTTGAGATATCCTGAGTGAAATTCTTCAAAGAGCTCATACATTTGCAGGGTCCATATATGCATGTATTATAAAAAAAAAATGATGAAAATTTATAAATGTCAGTCTGCAGATGAAATGTCACTTTTGTATAACTTAAGTTTTCAGTATTTATACTCTTTTTTTAAATTACTTATGTTTTCAGCGACGAAAGTGGTTACCTTGCAGGGTTTAACCAAGATATTGTAGATGCAGGTAAAAACATGTAATCACATAACATGTGCTGTGCATCGTATGGAGGTTTCTTTGAAAACCTGTAATAAAATTGAGCAACAGTATCTTAGCAGTAGGCTAAGCATGTAAAAACTATTAAATTGATTTTTACAAGGTATATTTGCGTAGGCCACGTTATTTCGATGCCATAGCAAATATGACAGATATGCTATACGCATCTACAATATCTTCATTTTATAGTGTGCAGGGAGGCCAACATGGACTGCAGAACAGTGTGGGACAAATATTCCAATTGCTGGGCCTCAGCAGGCGGACAACATGCTGTCGGAGGTCAAGGTCGGACATTCTCTTTGACTGCATTTCCAGTTTTAAGTTTTGGCGGCTTTATACTAAGTGTACGTGTGTTAAGTCAGCAGAAAGTTTCACCACGACTTCTGACCTCAGGAAGGCAATCTAACGGTATTACAACAGCGGTGGGCGGGACAACAGCACGATCAGATTGGCTTCCTGTGGTAAGAAATCTTATCTAAGTCGCCGCAACTTGTCTGAATATGTAGCTTCCCCTGTCTCTCTTCTACTCTGTATGAAATTATTTAGTTAATAGGTCTACATGCTACTGCATCTTGCTAGATTATTTCAAACATTTGTACACGTATATATATATACACGTATATGGACAGATCACTAAACCATGCAGTACTCTCTCCCACGCTAGGTCTGATGGCCGGGTGGTACGATGCCTGCACTGGTTGGGCGGCGACGGTAGACAGGTTGGCAGTCTTCTCATTTTCTGTGCCATTTATCAAAACAACACGCTCCTTCTTCTTCGTCTCTAAAAATAGCACTGCAAGTTTTGACTGGAGAGACATCACTGGAAAGAAAATCGGTGAGGGACGGTACCGATTTTTTCTTCACCAGGTCATAATTAGCATTCTCTTTTCCTCTTTTCTGTCGGTCACTTAAATTACAGACCATATTTAGAAATGCTTTTAAAATTGTACCTGTTGTACATTCTCCTCTACCACAATATTACTTGTTGTTTTGCACCTTTTGGTGATATCATATAGAGATACATGTATCTAGAGTCCACTACAGCAATGGCATACAGAAAAACTCTATGATTAACGTGTAGTACGATTTAAGTGATGAATAAATTTGGTCAGCTCAAACTATCATTTATTTTTGTGGTTATGCCCCCCCCCCCCCCCGCCCTGTTTCGAAAATATTCAGTATAAAGCACTTTTTCTGCATGCACGTTTCTACATTTGTCCGACCATCTCAACTTGCAGGGTTTCTCCATGGCTGGGCAAGCAATGACAAGTGCGTGGCCCGCTGGACGGCAGTGTCCGGGTCGGTGTTGAGAGAGGAACAAAAATTTACAGTGGCAAGCCCTGCCCAGTTAAGAGATAGCATACTTAGTGGCACGGTAATTTCACACACACACACACACACACACACACGCACACACACACACACAGAGAGAGAGAGAGAGAGAGAGGTTGCCTCAATCAGTCTTTGGAAAAATATGTATAATGCTATTTTAAAGTAGGATTAATATTTATCTGCATTTGGATACAAAAACATGTAGAACGAAAGATCATAAACCACGAACCACTCCAGTTAAACCTTTGTTTCACTAGGTCTCGATGCCATCTCCTTACCATACAATTAAATTATTGCTGTTGTTTTTACATGTTCTCACTTTTCAAGGTGGATGCAGGCTTTGCCGGACAGCGGGACATGGAAGCGGAGATGACGTACCTAGACCAGGTCGGGGATGGGACCAGCTGTTTTGTTGTTGGCCAAGCCATGGTAACACGGAAGGACAGCGACTTCAACTCCTACTGGAACGTCGGTTTCCAAAAACTTGTGTCCAGCGGGAAGTTTAAGAAGCTTTGCGAAGAAACAGAAAAGAAACACGGTAGGTCTCTTTTTAGTTTGTAAAATGCCCTATATACACTTCCGTTATTTGGTTAAAAAAATATAAGTTTTGTTCAAAAATTAACAGAAATCTCGCTACCAGCAGTCTCTTTGTTGGCAACCGTCGGAATCGTTTTAAGCCATTTTAGTGGCAGCCCCCTCCCAATGTTTACCAGCGTGTCTAGTTTTCTTTTTGGTAAAGTAAGCTCCCCTTATTTCAAACTAATTAAAACCCTTGGCTGTTTGATTATAATGGTAATTGTTGTACTTTACCAATCTTGTTATTTACAATGATATTGTCGACATTGTTGATAGCGATTTTAGTGCACCATTAAATACCAACATTTGGTCATTTGGCACGTCTCAACAATTTTAAATATTCGAAGACCACATGATGCTCTAAGATAGCGACTATATGTTCTATGGGTAGTGGCTCGCATGTTTTCCTTAGTGTAACAGATAAGCTGTTAAATTTTAAAAAATTGAACTTTAACTTTATTTTGCAAGCACAAAAACAGAAGAGTAATTTTATTCCTCTTACATCAAAGTAAGGTTTTAAATAGGTAAGCATGAAAAAATATTTCTTCGTGTCTGAAAGGTTAGCTTATTGTTAGACTTTACTTTTTAACTTTCAGGTCACAAAGGAGACATTGGCTGTGTTGAAACCTAAGTAAAAAGTGCTTAGTGATCTTAATTTCAGCACTTACTTGCTACTCAAGTTCTTTATTTCTAATGTGAGACCTTTCCTGTGGAATGTATAATGTCAACGCAGTGATATCCACTTTGAAAATGATAAAGTTGGTATAAGATTTCACACTCGATGAAGACATAAATTATAACGTCGTCCAGCAGCGCTTTAGAACCTAAAATTTTATGTCCAGGAATTAATTCCTTTATTATATGCTCTAAAGGCGTTAAGTAAAGATGTGTTGGTTACAGATAAAAATGTTTGAAAAGCGAAAAAAAAAAAAGATTTTTTTCATTGAAGCCATAAAATCCTTGGTTTGGGACTGTTTGAAAAATTAGATTGATGGATATTAAAATTTTGATGAATCCGTAAAGCACTTAATGTGTAGATCATTAAAATATTCGTCTTAAGTGTCAGTATAATTTTTTTTCTGCAGAGGGTCATTACACTCAATTCGCGCGTCTATTACCCTCTTCCGGGGCCACATTTTGAATATTCACTTGATGTAATTTTTCAAAGACATGTCTCTGGCTAAATTATTAGCAGTTATAGTAACCTATGTATATCCAGCGAAATTATGAGGATTATTACAGGAAACAAATCAGAATTGTACATCACTGACATAGTGAAAGTTAGAAAATCAAACCACAACAACATAATTTCTCTTATTGATCATAAGCTGGTTTGATCTATTACACAATGATTTTCGTTACGTCACCGTATCCCACTATTGTTATGTAGCATAACCTCTAATTTTCGTTCTCCAGTAACTATCCAAAAATTCCTGACTCATTTGATCAAGAGTGTTTCTTTCATTTTTCATTATTGTACATAGTGTGTGTTAGATTTGCATCTGCTAGCATTACAACTCAAGTTCGAATAAAGTTTTAATACCGGTGTTTCAATTTTTCATTCAAGATGAAAGCAGACATACCGCGAAAGTTTTCATTGCAATTTTCATTGGTTGTCACTTTTTATTTCTGTAGCTACATGTACGACGGTGACCATTGACGTTCCGCTTAAATATTTGCCCTGTCGGAATAGCTTTGACGCATGGCCATATTACTGAGCAATGTCGAGAGGAGGTGAAATGAAAAATGCTTAAAACTGAAATAAAAACGCAGTAAAATGGATTATAAAAGATTAAATCGAAAATAAAATAAACAGAATAAAATGCCGCTGAAGAAAAAAATTATATTATGTACAGGGATATTTGGTAACAACATAGATACATGATACGTCTTTTTTTATCAATTACTCGAAGGTTGTGTGTTCAGTGACAGAGGTGAAAAATCCCTTTGTAATCTCTGCATCTGGTGTTCTTTCGGGAATGCAATGCAACCCCAATAAATAAATAAATAAATAAATAAGATGTCACTTGCAGTTATTTGGCAGGACTTATCTTCTCAGAATTTTTTCTTAGACCTTCGTAAATCTCGAAAGAACACAACAGTTCATGCTCTTCTCATGGTCGCATTTAATTTCTTTTTCCAATGTGCCTTACCGCTTCGTCCTGCACAACATCTATTTTGTACAAGCGGAGCTTGAAATATAGCGTTTGGCATCAGTTTTTGCCAATTATATTCACTTGCTGCAGTTCAGGCATACATAGTAGAATTTTCAATTTCTGGTTGGCTACCCGTCAACCTACCTCAACAGAAAACTTCAGTTGACAGCTGACATTTTAAAAGAAAATGTCAATTATAATGAATTGAACAGTTATTAATATCTCTTATTTTATTATATACTTTATTTAAAAAAAAAAGAAAGAAAAAAGACCGCACCCTCTAAAGTTAACCGGATGACCTTCGGTTCCCCCGTAGTTACACCAGGATTTTCAGATTTAAATCTACTGACGTTGTCTACATTATATATATATGGCCATACACCACCCAGGATCTCCCGTTGTTGATTCAAGGCTGGGCACAGTCTTTTATCAGCTTAGCGTCAGCAGTTTGATATTTATAACGGGATGTCCTTTATATTTTCCCCTACTTTCGTTTAGTGATATTCCATAAAAAATTCCCACAAAACCATTGCTGTTTTCTGCGAAACATGGTGTCATTATTTAGAAGGTGGGTTATTAATGGATGCCTGAGCAGCGTATCATTCAAAAGCAAGTGTTTTTTTTTTTGTGATATTATAGAAATACTTTATACAGGCTATCCGTGTAAACTTTTACAGGCTAACTGATGAATTTTCATTAATGAGAGCTACCACCAATATTTATTTAAAATGTGAACCGTTGAAACACCTATACAAAGTGGATCTCTCGCAGTGAAAAAAAAAGCAGAAAGGATGAATAGATATTCCCCATGCTGTTTACCTTTCCGATTGAGTAATCTGTGATTGGTCATGTTGTGAACATGCATTTTATGATCGAAAATATTGACAAGACGACTGCTATCTGAAGTAGGGGTTCTTCAAACTTATCCAGAATGTCATTTTGTCAAGTACTTGTATGGGACATCAATGAGACGGTGGAAATAGGAGCGGAGCACGCTCGCCAGCTATTTAAGACAATCCGTTCGGCGAGTTTTGCAGACTGCTCGGGTTCATCCTCAAATTCACAGCCTTTTAACAGGTGCTAGAAGAATCGAGAAGTGCTTTTGTCAAAAATGAAGATCTTGGCTTTGATGCTCGCTTTAGCTCTTACAGGTATTGCACGTTTACAGATAACAGGAAGGATTTAAATTGCAATATCAGTATCGGTCTTGTGCTTGAAGTCTTAAAGTGCTGAAATATTTCCTTATACTTAAATACAATAACATGTATCCTTTTTATATGTAACCGATATAAGAAGTTTTTTGCATCTTAAAATTATAGTTTATGACAGTAATTCTGAAGTTTGTGACATATTTTTAGTCTAGTTGCTAATTTTATGCTTTTTACAGCCTCAGCCGCCCCAGTAGAGGAGTGTAATACCATCTGTCCTTTCATCCTCCTTCCCGTTTGCGGGAGTGACGGTGTCACCTATGGCAACGAGTGTAACCTGAATGTCAAGGCTTGTCAGTACGTATTTCTCCGGAAAGTTTTTTAATAAAAAATTACGAGATTTTACGTACATAGATTAACATTGTATTCCATCTTTGTGTGTACATTTTACCACTTACTTGATATCGCTGCATTGATCACACGTGTTTACCTGTAAATTCCAGATTACGTGTAAGCGGTGGCGAGAAGCTGTACAAGGTTGCCGATGGTGAATGCAAGACTGTCGCAGTTCAAACCAACTCCGTCGGTAAGTGTGGACTGATTATATAGATATTGATTTAGCCTTTTATGGATGATTATATGCTTTTAATAAGTTTCTTTATCTCTTAATTGTTTTGCTGTACTCAAATTTGAAACTTCCCTCTTGAAATTTAAGATAGCAACATAATTTTTATACGATAAATATTTCAATACGATTTTTTAATGAAGATCACATTGGTCTTCATAATCATCTCAAGTTTTATGAATGTTGGTTGAAATCACCTTGAATGTTCCATGTCTGGAATTGTTGTATTTGATCTATGCTTACATGTCTATTGATCCGATAAATAGGACTTTAAGCTACTCGTACTTTTTCTCCCGCCTCAGCCGCCCCAGTAGAGGAATGCAATACCATCTGTCCTTTCGTCCTCCGTCCCGTTTGTGGGAGTGACGGTGTCACCTATAACAACGAGTGTAACCTGAATGTCAAGGCTTGTCAGTACGTATTACCCCGGAAAGTTTTTTAATAACAAATCACAAGTTCATTTAATGTAAATAGAGTAACAATGTATTCCATCTTTGTGTGTACATTTTACCAACTATTTTTTTATCTCGATGCTGCATTGATCACACGAGTTTACCGGTAAATTCCAGATTACGTGTAAGCGGTGGCGAGAAGCTGTACAAGGTTGCTGATGGGGAATGCAAGACTGTCGCAGTCCAGACCAACTCCGTCGGTAATTGTGGACTGATTTATGTAGATATTGAATTAGCCTTTTATGTGTGATTATATGCCTTTTATCAGTTTATTTTTCTCTTAGTTGCTTTGCTGTACTCTAATTTGAAACTTCCCTCTTAAAATTTAAGATAGCAACATAATTTTTATACGATAATTTAAATATTTCAAGACGATTTTTTAAATGAAAAATTCACATTGGTCTTCATAATCATCTCAAGTTTTATGAATGTTGGCTGAAACAAGGAGTTACAACTGTTGTAACTCCTTGACTGAAGTCACTTTGAATGTTCCAACTCATGAATTGTTGTTCTTGATCAAATGCTTATAAGTCTATTGATCCGATAAAATGGGATTAAAGGTAATCGTATATTTTTCCCGCCTCAGCCGCCCCAGTAGAGGAATGCAATGCCATCTGTCCTTTCATCCTCCGTCCCGTTTGCGGGAGTGACGGTGTCACCTATGGCAACGAGTGTAACCTGAATGTCAAGGCTTGTCAGTACGTATTACCCCGGAAAGTTTTTAATAAATAATTTACGAGATCATTGTATTGTATACCTCTTTGTGCACACATTACATCCTTATTTTATAGCGTACTTACAAAACTTACAAACTTTAGACAGGCCTTCATCTGAGTTTGTACTGATTCTTCACGTTTTTTAAAATTCCAGATTACGTGTAAGCGGTGGCGAGAAGCTGTACAAAGTTGCTGATGGTGAATGCAAGACTGTCGCAGTCCAGACCAATTCCGTCGGTAATTGTGGACCGATTTATTGAGTTATCCTTTTTTTGTAGTTGATATGCATTGAATCCAATTGTGTTTTTCTTTGCTGTACTCTTATTTGAAACTAACATCTTAAAATTTTGGATAGCAATATAACTATAATGCTACACATATTTCAAGACGATTTTTCATCAAAAATTCACATCGCATTTATCTCATGTGTTCTGTATATCGGTGGAAATTACCTTGAATATTCCAACACAGGAATTGTCAAATGCTTATAAGTCTATTAATTCGATAAAAACGAAAGTTAAAATAATCGTATATTTTTTCTCCCGCCTCAGCCCCAGTAGAGGAGTGTAATACCATCTGCCCCTTCGTTCTCCTTCCCGTTTGCGGGAGTGACGGTGTCACCTATAACAACGAGTGTAACCTGAATGCCAAGGCTTGTCAGTACGTATTTCTCCGGAAAATTTTAAATTACAATTACGAGGTAATTTTACGTACAAAGATATACATTAAATTCTGTCTTTCTGTATACATTTCGCCACCTATTTTATTTGCTCATACAGAACTTTCAAACTTCAGACAGGCCTTATTTGATGATGCAGTAATCGCACGTGTTTACCTGTAAATTCCAGATTACGTGTAAGCGGTGGCGAGAAGCTGTACAAGGTTGCTGATGGTGAATGCAAGACTGTCGCAGTTCAGACCAACTCCGTCAGTCAGTGTGATCAGATGTGTCCGACAACGTACCAACCCGTCTGTGGCTCTGCTAGCACCCCGGATGGCGAAGTTACCTATACCACTTATTCCAACCAGTGCAACCTCAATTTGATGGCTTGCTTGTAAGGAATACTTTTCATTCTGAAAGTTATATGGGGTAGTTATCTTTATTAAGTCAATATCATATTCACTGAGATAGAAAAGAAGAAAATCTAGACAGTACGTACCTCGTTTTCTATGACACATTACAAAGTAGCAGATTTAAAACACTTAACTTAAAACAGAAATTTACATGACGTTTTATTTCACATTTTTACAGGGTGGCCGAGGTGTCCCCTGGCACCAAGCTGAGCAAAGTATACGACGGTGAGTGCAAGCAGTAGAAGAAGGCGCCCCCTTTTGACCAGTGCACCGTTCTCTTCGGACATCAGCACAGCTACTAGTAGATGCATAGCCGTCTGACTCTGACTTACATTGATCTTCGGTCTTCGGTCACAGCAAATGATCTATCTAAGAATTACGATACAGTTCTCAATTTTTCACAATTACGTTGAAATCGTAAACTGTACGGGATACTTAAAGCATCGTCTGCCCGTACAATACAAAATCCACAGTGATTTATATTTCGAACATTTATTATCGTCCTAAATTCGTTTAAAATCCATTCTGCTGGACCAAGCAATTCAAATGTTTTTGAAAGTGAGATTGATAAAAAAATGAAGTCATCGAATACTTGATCAAACCTGAACTTCATGATTTAAACCGGTGTTGTTGTAATTCTTTCTAATCTACAGCCATAAAGAGCAATAAATGTATTAAACTCGCTTGTAAACTTGTGCTCTATTTACATTTATTGACGGATGTGAGGTGACGGCTAGTTTGTCATGTACGTGTACGCCAGTGTATAATATTCTTAAAAAGGATTTTCCTGTTTTCTATGGAGTAATGCAAAAGTACTCAGGCCGTAGCCAACGATTTCAGAGGGGGGTCGTTTTCTAAAAAATTGCACCTTTTTTTCACCATGAATCCTTCGTGTACGTAGATAAAAATTTACCCAGGTGGCCTTTTCCCGGCACAACGAAACCCGAACCCCGAAACCCCCTGGCTATGGGCCTGAATATATCAGACACTGACCGGGAACGATCTGCATCAGGCTACGGCCCTCTCCTAATCGATTTATCAGTGTATTGCATTGTATCGTTTTTCTCTCTCTGGGAAGTGCCCTTTCAAATGTTCACGAATATTGTTTTCCCTGTGAATTCATTTGCCGTGGATTTTGCCAAATCATTTAATGTGCATTTTCTGCATCTGATATTTTTCGCACTTCACTGTTAAAATTTTTGTGCGCATTCGCTTTAAAACTTGGAATAATTTCAAACATTACATGCTATTGAATTGGTAGTTTCCGTTATGTTAAATATTTATCTATAGTCATATCAAAAGAAAAGTTATAACCAATGGATAACATAAAACATCAAAGATCATAAACAAAACTGACAGTTTCACTGTTGAGACGGAGGTTTTTAAAATACTGAAGTCCCTGCTAATGAAATATCGTAATCTTTTACCACGTCTTTCTCTGAGCTCCCCTGGTGTTCTATTGGCATTGACCGATAAGGCAAGATCATGACTTGACGAAATCCCTAGGTTTAATATACCATCTGTCCTTTTTCACTTGGGATTGGTAAAACTCGGGCGCATTTATTTTATCCGCCACATTCAAGTTTTGCTACTGGAGAATTTCAATATGAAAGCAGTATTTTTGCTGGTAGTTTTGGTCGGTGCAGGTAAGGCAAGTTACCTTACATTTAGTTTCGGAAACGGATTATTACGAGATATTTGACCTTATAATTACGTCTAGAAAACAGTTACCGGGTGAACGTATATTATCAGATGTAAAGGATTTTCAGCACGTCGTCTAGTGTTATGGCGCTGTAAAAAGCCAGCGGGTGAGGGGCAGGTAATTTACAGTGAATGGGAACGGCACGAAACGCACCTTATTTTCTTTTGCCATATTTCAGTAACATCTGCGGAGATAGAGTGTCCCATGTTCTGCCCATTTAACTGGGCCCCGGTGTGCGGTAGCGATGGAAAAACATATGGAAATGACTGCTCTTTGACTGTGGCGGCGTGCCAGTACGTGATAAATATGCACTTACAATTTCATAAGAACGACTGACATTTTTTTGTTATTTAAACATATCGTTTTCATCACATCCCTCAATATACAGGCTTAACGCAAACACCAATTAACTTGCGTGGAGAACAATATTCGGAATTCCATCCAAGGGTTTTGACTCTATTGCCATAAACTTTAACATTTGATTCCCAACTCCTATTATAGGGCGGGCAAAATCGGAGTTAAGATTACCAAACTTGCCGATGGCGAGTGCAAGGTGGCCGTGCAAGAGACAACCCAGCCACCCACCAAGGCCCCCGAAACGTGCATGATTATGTGCACAATGCAGTATGACCCGGTGTGCGGTACTGACGGGAGAACTTACGGGAACGCTTGTTCACTGAAGTCTGCAGCCTGCTTGTAAGTATTCAAGTGCACTTTTTTAATCAGCACGATTCGGTCGATTTCTACAGCTCTGAAAATGCCGTGTAACCACTTTACAGCAACATTCCTGTAAAAGCACCGAGCCGTTATATTCTTTACCTTACCAATATAATTGTTCATGTTCAACATGTTACTTTACTCCTGCTTTCATCTTAAAAAAGGGTGAATAACAGACACTGATCGACTTGATACAATTTTCTCTTTTGCCTTATTATTTCAGCCGGGCCCAGGAAGGTGAGAAACTCAGCATGGCTTACGCAGGCGCATGTAAACCTGTCAGGAAGTAAAATGTAACAGAAATCAAACAACTGCTGTATGTAAAAAGATATCGAAATGTAATAATAATAATAATAAAAAAAAAAGACTTTTGAACTTCCATGGGTATTTTGTTCCTATTGCACATACGGACTTTCATACGACCCTATATAAAAGCAAAGGTTCTGCATTCAAAATAGTCAACATACATGTACAAAGGCTGCGACCCATTTCCATCAGAATAATTATATTGGCTTAAGTGCGTATTACTTTTTTTATCCGTTGATAACATCGATAGGGCTTTGCAAATTATGACGTCTATAAGCGTGGACATTAAAACTGGGTAAAAAAATCTAAAACTGTACGCAACTTTAAGCACTAAATTACCAAACAATGATAAGCCCGGTAAGAGGTCACATATATGACGCTTATTTGCAGGAACTTAAGACAATAAACAGCACCTATACACAGAGGACATTTTCCTGGTCGATTATTTGTTTTTAAGACTGGGATGTTTGGTGAAGACTGGAAATTGAAATCTCAAGAACCATCAGCCAACTGATCTCAGTACATACAAAACTGATAGTTCAAAAATTGGACAAAGCAAAACAATGGCCACATTCCCTCCTTATATTTCTATACTACTTCTGCATCCTCTCCATGTGAGCAACAGTTTCATTTGTTTAACAAAGCACATAACAGACTTTTGAGGTTTTGTAACAAAACCTCATGCAGTTCCTCCTTAACAGCAATATTGAGAAATATATTGTAGGTGCTATTCACATAACGGGTTTCTTTTCTTATCAAACTGATAAAAACATACACTCATTTTAAAAATAACGAAAAACAGCAAGGCATTTGGAATAAAATATTTTTGTTATAATCATTTTCACATACTTAACCCATATATACATAAGTAAATATCAAAGTCATACACCCATACCACAACAGCAGATTTTTATCTATAGCACCTTCAAAACAACACAACCATGAAGGTGCCCATCAATCCAATTTAATGTCATGTCATTTCGTCTGGAAAATATACTTTGGTTTACGCCTGCGATTTTGGCATCCTGCCAATATTCGCGAGTGTTCTTATGTTCTTGCTTGTTCAGTGTTCAAAGCACCATGACAGTTTTCATGGTGTCATGTCAGCATTCATGTTTGTTCAGTGTTCATGGTATCATGTCAGCGTTTATGACAGACACCAGTATCAACCAGTCATGTACCAATGAAAGTTTTTGCTACTGCTTACAATACTCTTCAATAAAATCTTCCAAAATTCTTATTCCATGACTTTTTATTTGGAGTATCTTAGCTTCCCAACACCCTGTCATGCACTCAGTGAGTTCATGTCTATATTTTGTAAAGTAATCCCTTTTTACAGTTTCCCAGCACTGGAGGCATTGCTTTGGACAAAATAAATAAGTTTTTTTAATAAATATTATAAATCATGCTCCTAATGCCACGTTTGAAGAAGTTGTAAGAAATGTCCATCCTGTCTCCACTTGTCCCAAAATCTAATGAAATGCATAAATCAGTAACAGTACTACACAGATGCCTATCACAAATCCTAAAATAATAGCGTCCCTCCTTTTCCTCAAGTTCACCTTCTGTATTAAGCTATTTATCACAGGAAAACGATCTGGACCTATGTTAAGGATTTTTTTCATTATAAAAAGTTAGTTATGAATCATTATCATGAAAATAAAAAAGTGTAATATAAACATTTAAATGTTGTACATATCAACATTCATGTTTGTTCAGTGATGTACTCTCACTTCCCATCCATTACATACACACTCAAAAATGAAAATATAAAAAACCAACTAAGGTTACAAAGGGAAAATATCCAATTACTCAAGCAGAAAAACCTTACATGTACTCTTTTAAATGCTAGTACTGCAGTGGCATAGACAGTCAAAGGATACTCCCCATATTTGAAAGTTTTTGTGTTATTGAGTTAAAGGTCCCTCTCTGTCCTTGGAGGTTTTCTTTTGTTGCCATGGCAATGCTGGAAAAAAACAAAAAACAAAACTTAATAACAATCAGTGATTTGAGTCAAGATCTAGGTCAAACAGAGACAACAAAACCAGAGCCATATCAATAAAATGTTAAAAGATTATGTTACTCGCTGAAATTTTTATGGGCATTTAATTTTTATCAGTGCTTTCCTTAAGGGGCCCGCACACAGTGAGCATTTGGCGCGCGCCACTTGCGCTGCGCCGTTTTCTCATCGTGTGCGGGGGTATTTTGGTGAGATTTTTGCCACGTGTTTGATATTTTTGGTCTCTTGAGGCAAATGTCTCAGCGTGTGCGGGGTGCAAGCGCCGATTGCTCACGCCATGCCAACACTGCGCACGTGCTGGTAGCCGGAAACAAAGAAAAATGGCAGCCTCCAGCAAAGTAAACAAAAATGTACACAGTTATAGTTAGTCTGATTGATAAACGTGGTCACCATTTGCCATTACTTTCAGAAAAAAAATAAATATGTAATGTTTCCTTAATCACATGATCCCACAGTTCGCGGTGCGTCTGATAGGGGCAGGCCGGGAGGCATCTCTGCTGAGCAAAGAGCGCATCGTTTGCAGGGAGCTGAGGAGCTTCTATATAGTATTTTTATCATAAAGGTATATAGACTAATAGACTATAGACTAATATAAAATTGGTTCAAGTAGTTCGGTCTATCACATCCAACAATTGCAAGTAGCCCCTCACTCCAAGTAACCTTTTTAACTGAATTGTCAGATGGATGTGTGATAGGAACCCATCAGATCTATGTCACATCATCTGGTGGACACCCTCTTACCTGATCTGCTCATCTAAAAGTCTGTCAGAGCTAAAATAAAAGAAAATAAAAATAAATTAACATTAACTTCAAGCACTTAAAGATTACAAGAGAGAGAGAGAGGGAAAAAATGAATGCAGTGTTTAGGCAGGTGAATGCCAGTGCTAGCCAGAGATGCTATGTTAATAGATATAGCCCTGAAGCTACCTATATCTCTAACTGATGTGTCAAGCCCCAGGAGAGTGGTCCTTAAAAACCCAAGCAATGGATGACTAACCACCTCTGGAGCAATGCAGCTCAATAATGTAATCATACAGTGCACATTATCAATGCAGCTGCTGTAGTGCGAGTTTTAAAAAATATGTGTTAAACATTACCAATCAAGTCAACGTCAACTCTTTCCTCATCTGCTGTGACAATATAAAGTCACTTAATCTTTAGCACTTCCAATAACTGCCACTTTTCTGTGTATCATACTTACTTTCTTATGTGCTCATTTTCTTTCAAGTATAGATCTGTTCTCCTCTGGGTGGCATTCTTGTAAGCACTGCAAATATTCAATGGCACCTTTTACCATATGTGCCATTGTTGACAAAGCAGCAAAGTAGAAAATAATTACATTTTTTAAAACAATTTTCCATGTGTGGAAGAAAAGGGTTGGTATCCTCCAAAGCACAGATGCCACACAATTGCATCTTAGTTCTTCTATAAAAGACTAGTAAAAATTCAGTTTGTGACACATTTTGTCCATTTCATCTTTAATCAAATAACAAAACTGAAAAACAAAGCTTCCCCTCTTAAGCTCATAAAAAAAAAGAAACAAAAACCAAATACATATGACATCAAAGATGAAGGTTCCCTTATCATCCTGTCTCCCATAAAAGCCACACATAACAAAGAAACACCAGTTACTCAATATCTCGCCTGACTGAGCCGAGCAGGTCCTCTCTCTCAGCACACGCCGTGATGTTGGCCTTTGTCTTTTGGAACTCATGAGAGTAATCCTGGAGAATATCTCGGTGTCTCTGGAGTGTGTGGAGCAAGGCAGAGTTGTGAGAGTTCACACTGATGTTCTGAGTGTATTCTGCCATCTGGTCATTCACTTGGGTCAACTGAAATGGTAAAATTCCAGTTTTTACGTGTACATGCAATGAAGAATCAACTTTGAAAATTCACTGTGAACCGCTTCTGTGGTATCAAAGCTTATTTGGCCTATGTTAAGATTTTAAATTTAAGAAAACTTTAATGTCAATATACATAATAATCATGTGTTAATTATGGTACTCAATTTCATCCAATGACTTGTTAAGTAAGTATCAACATTTTTATTCATTAACATTGCAAAAACATCCATGCCAGGAAGTTATCCCCCTTACCCTTGCCAGTAATTGCTCTATTTCCATGGCCATGGTTTCAAACATGTGCTCACTGTTGGCTTTGTTAAGGAGAGGTGCAGTGTCACTAAAAACAGTAAAACAAACAATGATATAAGACTGAACAACTCCTCTTGGGGTTCAACTATGAATTGGTGCCTTAAAAAGAAATATTATTCTGTTTAAAGTAACCTCTAAAATTAAGTTATGAGTACATAAATGTTTTATTTTAGCCAGGTGCATTCTTTTTCTCTTCTCAGAAAGAGTCATCTTGACTGATCATCTACAAAATAATTATTGCTGTACAGTATGATAATAAAATAGTTTTAAGGTCTCAAGTATCATCTTCCCATTCATACCTAAGGACTTCATAGAGATATAGCAAATGGATGCAAAATTCTGTTGTTATAAGGATAATCATATGCAGACACACTTTTCAATCGCAAAACCACCCAAGCCACAAAGATTACACACGGTTTTGTTAGGGTGTCAACACCAGAAGTGGCACCAATTTTCTGACATTAAATGTACAATGGTATCAACTCTAAAAACAAATGTCTCTAATATCAAATAGGCCAAAGTTAACCATAGCCATTTCAGCTACCCACATACCAGAAGGTACCATCACCCCCAAAAAAGTTTGACCTTAGCACTCAAGCTTTAAAGACAGACCATTACCAAAAACTTAAGAGTGGGAATACCTTTTCTCATGATCACTGGCATCCTCAATACTGAAGCAAGAAGGCAGAATAAACAAAAGAAAAGTGTCAATTTACTAGCATCCAAATAATAACAATTAAGTGCAAGCAGATAAAAGAAAAAAATCAGAGAAGCATTTCTGGTCTCAACCATTACCACATAGTTCACAAAAAAATTCCCCTTTTTTGGAATGTATAAAGCTCATCTTATTTAAATGCCATGACATACTTTACACATAAAATTTTATATATAAATCATCTGCTGCACAATTTTTTAAACATCAATGCCTAAATTCACCAACTTAAGAAAGTTATATATTATAAATTAAAATTTTATACCTCATCCTTAGAGGTGCAACATTCAGAATTCCATGCAAAGGGGCCATTAAACTAGTAATGCTTAATATCCAGTACAGCAAGGGGTTAACAGTAAGAAGAAAACATACCACCTAATTTTAATAATATAGTAAATTTGCATCATATATCAGTATTAGTCTCACATTAGAAAATCTACTCAATTATTATTATTCAACATGTCAATTTCATTTTCCATGGCATTTATCTATTTATTATTCATGACAGTAATTTGCAGACAAGATATTTAAATAAGGTAGGAAAGAAAGATGAGATAAGAGAGGGTATTGAGTTACCAGCACAGTGCACCTTGCTGAAAATTAAACCTTGCAAATCACAACATTTACACCAATGACACCCTTGACAAAAAATGAATACAACTTACAATAATTATTCGCCATAAAATCAAATACCACCAAAAAATATAAACTTACACATTAAATCCATGTAAAATGCCCATATGTCACCCATGAACCCCTTCTAAATAAAATCAATGTTTCTAGAGATTTTCCAAGCAGTTTAAAATGAAAAACAGGTATCCACACATTCAAAACACTTTCACCATCTATTTAGGATCATGTTTAAAGAGATGTCACTAAAAACCAGATGACCACGTCACAGCCATGTTTCAATCAGGAACCACTTATAACTAGGTCAAACACATGCATACAATATTTCTTGGAACTTGTTAGATTTTGGGGCATGTTAAGAAATCAGCAACACATGCTGCCCCATATGTTTAGAAAAGACCAGGTACATGCAGGATTAGTACTTCCCACATGCATTAGTTTCCTCGATTATTATAAAAAAACGTGAGGGTGACCTTCAATGATGTAACTTGTACTGTACTTATCAGGGAATGTTCACAGAATGGTGCTTAAAAGTTCAAAGTCACATATTTCTGATGCTAAGCACACTGTTAACTCTGCACCATGCAAGTGTACAAGTACAGGTTTACACACTCACCACAGTTAATCAATGTTCCTAATCATGCCCCATGCATATCGTAGTGTTTTCCAATTTCACAACTGTCTCTGGTGCCTTCACTTTGATAAGTAAATGAATCTTAAACCTCATAAAGCTTACTGCTACATGTAAGTATTTAGATCATTTCTGAAGTTATAGCTAAGAGATTTTAGCCATTACCCACGGCCTTGAGCTGTTTACCCATCCTTAGTGATAGCTATGTTGTTATCAGCTATGTTCTTGTTTACATTTTTAATGTCTAGAATGGGAAGAGGAACAAAATCTCCACACATAACAATGGCATTGACTGCATTACAGAGAATCAGTAGCTGTAAAAAAAAAAGGGATTTTCCAACAGTGTTATATTCTGTATTTTCCTCATATTACATCAGAGACTGGCAGAGAGTTCTGCTTGATAAACCATGCTACTCAATTTTAGAATATGTTATATGTGAGATCATTTCAAAATATCTCTTTGAAAACAGATTACTGATTTTAATTGGGATTCTGCTTTAAGACAGCTTAATAGAGATTGCTTTTTGAGGTTTTCAGATTCATCAACCTTGCAAACAGTATGACAACCAAATGTGACAACACTCTTAGTCGACATGCAAGCTGTGTTTATCCATCCCTGTCAATAAAATATCACCTGTTTCCATGGTATTCTCTACTTCCGCTGTAGTTTGTTCCAAGTTTACTGAATGACACCAGTTTCAAATCAATTTCATTTTCTAATTGCCTGGCTTGCTTCCTAAGATCTGAAAAAAAAACAATGTTATAATGAATTACAGGTGAATATATATGGCAATTGTTTATTTTTCTGTCACTCATACGTACTCATAAGTGCGCAGATTATTTTTATACATTCGGTTATTTTCTTCAAATTATAAAGATAGCATCGTTTTCTAGACATGTAATTCTGCAACAAGAATTCCGCATAATAGGCTCGTTGACCTTTTTTAATAGAAAAAATGCATGTAAAAACGGCCGTGTCAATGATGAGACTCTTCAACGAACTTGGTGAGTAACGTGTGGCTGTCATCTACTATTATTACATACCTTCTCTTAGGCTTTAATTGCGTGTTTTATAAATAAAGCTTTTAAATTTTCAAATTATGTCATAAGTCTTATCTAATGGAACATTATTCACTGAGATGTAAAAGTGACAAAAAACTGTGAACCTCCAACGTGTCTTTTACCTTCCCACCGATTCCCATCTGCCATTTTGGAATTTACGTCAACACAGGAAGTGTTCAGAATTACGACAATGTCAATCGATCGTATTTGTCCGTAATTTTTCGTATCATCTTATTAGAAGTAGTCGGAATAAATATCTTATATTTCCGTGTAATTGATATTTGTGCTGATGTCAAACCGTATTTGAAAAAATTAAAAACGGAATGACATATCAGTCACATGATTGATCACATGACTTCGAAGCGGTTTGTTTAAATTCAAAATGGCTACATTCAGCAGAAGGAGCAGGAGCGTGATCGGACTGTCGTTCAGAAGAAGAGGCTATAATTCGATGAAGGAGAAGGAAAATGAATGCTTATGTGTGTGTAAGGAAGAAGCTGTATGTGAAAAGGGTGGCTGGTTTCCTGTAAAGCGACGCCTTTCCCTCAGAGGTAAAAAATACCAGCTACAAAATACGTCGTCCCCACCCATTTGCGAACACATGTCCGATGATGACGCTAGTGTCGAGAAACAAAAAGAAAAGAAGATAACTTTTGAAAATGTTGGCAAGGCCATGACAAGACTGCGACAGGTAATACATCACTTGTGGTAATGGGTTAACTGCGATAATTGTGTTGTTTTGTAAATGTATCTGGTACGAGTTGATCATTTGTTTCAGTCCTAGATCTACAGTACTGTACATGTACTGTACTGCAGTTTATAGTTACTAATAGTACGCCATATGTGAACGGTTTTGCATTCCATGCATTCCACGCTGCACTGTGGGTGCCACATAAGGATGAGATTACATTGCCAGAGACATTATCGTAAAGATGAAAACGTTTTCATGACAGTATTATACCTGTCATTGATAAATGTACCAGGATGAGTTCAGAAGTCATCGTGCACTTGTCATTGTTCCCTGTGTTGGATGTTTTGGAGCTGTCCAGTATGTTTGATTTTACTCATTTTGATTTTATCTTCAGAGACTGAGAAGGAAAATTCACAGAAGAAGGCTTGAAAACCTGGACACGCCCAACAAAACCCCAGGTACATGTAGTTTGCGGAAAAGTGCTCGTCTCGCTGCCAAAACCCCTGAGCTCAAACTGTACAGTCCATTTGGCATTGAGACCCCCGGCAGGTCACCCCTCAGACTGAATCAACACCAACCGAAAAGGTACCAGATAATTTAGAAAGTTATGCAAAATACAGTTTCATGAATTCATCTAAATACTAATGAATAGTAATGATATATATGACGCTGTGGAAAAACTGGTTGAAACATCATTTTATATAAAGCCCTCCTGATGATCGGTCATACCCTATGGGTATGTCTGTGAAACTCAGAGTTGGGGTTCACACATGTTTTGTGTTTATTTATTTTTAAGTGTGTGTGTAAAGATGATCAGAAGTTGATTTTGATATATATTTTAAAGTGTTGTATTATTTTGCACCAACTTTTCAGGTTCAATTTTAGCAGCCCAAACTCTTTTCAAAGAGATCTTGACAGTGTAGCAAGTGGAATAAGATCTCTGAAGCACAATTCCAACAGTTTTTCCAGTGTTATTCAGAAAGAAAACAGGTATGAAGCTTTTGCCAAGGTTATCAAACGATGCATGTTTATTATTAGGTTTTACCTCAACTTACAAACATTAAGATTTAGAGTTTAAGCTATCAATGATTAAAACAATATTATGTAACTTGCAACATATCTTCACTACAAGTCAGTCTACATATCCCAGACATGAGGCCTGAGTTTCAGATCAGACATGGACCAGCTTTTTCATTTTCAAATGTCCATATACCGGTATGTCATGTCTGATCTTTGGTGGCATTTGATTGAAGTTTACCACACCAGTCACTAATCTAGGAAGGTTACATGAACTACATCACATGTACTTCTGCTAAACCTTTCAATCTAGATGACTGGTGTGCATTTCTGCTTTGAACAATAAATTTTAAAGTTGCTGCTGTCAGTCAGAGATGGATAAATGTGCACATATGGAGGACTGAGATAGAAGGAGCTGGTGTGCTCATTGTAGCTGAAGCTCGCTCAGTGTACAGGTGTCACATTTTCAAGATAACACTAAAAACTTAATTATAAAATTTAGTAAAACTTATAAACTCTGGTTTTTGCATAACATTTTATAGGAGGGTTTGAAAAGCTACAGTAATACCTATAAATACTATTGTACATGTTGCAAGCTGTAGCATTAGTCTGTCCACAGTTTGGGATCATTCTGCATAATGTTTTTCTTAAACTTACATGGTTACAGTGAAAAAATTGGTGCAGGCTGCCTAGTGCTCTTGTAGGCTTATTCTCCTCTTGTTATTGTTATTATTATTATTATTATTATGAACAAAATGATTCCTATTTATTATTTTAGTAATTTATACAAGAAGCTGGGTCACTTTCCACCTACTGTGTAATTTTGTAGACCCCATCCCACTTACTTTGTATTCCCATGCTTGCTTATACCTGCTTCTGCTTGCTATGTGAAGTGTTGGCATCTCACCATTTCAGTTCTCCTTCCCAGAGTCTTGGAAGAGGAGAAGTACAAGAGAATGGAGAGACGAAAGTATCACCTCAGGCCAAGAATTGAGTTGGGTTCGAGGGAAACACTGATTTATTGAAAACGGGGACTATTTTTGATGACTAACATGTTGCACAATCAGTTAGACATTCTGTTTAAGTTACAGTTGGTCTTGTGCAGTGGATAATCCGATATCACATGCACATGTGTGTACTTGACTGCAAAACAATCCACAAGTGTTGACTGGTTAATTACCACAAAAAAATGAAAAAAAAAAATGAAAAATTAACATAAAAGGTTGGCAAATATAGTTTTTTTTTAATATCTGTCAATCTTGTTGAAGCCTTATAACAGAATTGAAATGAAGATGAAAATGTATTGAATGTAGCACTGAAAACAAAATTAGTTTGTACATGGTCATTTTAACATTTAAGCTATGCTTTTTGATAGCATGGCTTACCAAAGTAGGATTAATTTATTTTTGTCTTGCCTGCTTAAGTATAATTTAGACATATCTGTATATGTTAGATGCTATATAATCCTGAAATTGTACGTAGTTTGTGTACAATGATATATTTTATACGAAACATTTTACATTGTAGTTTATCAGTTTTTCTGTTAAGATATAAGATTAATACATAAACTGTTTATTTAAACAAAATGTAATCATGTCTGTTAAAGAAGAAAAGATGGTTGTACAAAATATGTATGTGAAGTATGTAAGAGTTCAAGTTGCATGTATTAGAGTGGTAGGTAAGCTAAGGTTATGTCTTCCAAGAGTGCCAAATGTTATACCATGTACAGTGAAGTCCCACAACCAGTTGTATTTATAAATTAACCACTTTGACATTATTATAATCGATATGTGCTTTTTTTTTTTCTGCATCATCATAACTTTTGTACTAATATTTAATATTACCCTAATAATTACATAATGCTTATGTTAATTCTATTATGACTTTTGCATACAAATAATCTACCCATCGTGTGCTTTTATTATTATTATTTTTTTATATTATTGTAGTATTAGCATAACAAATGCCACATTTATTCTTAACATGTGTTACAATTAGGTTTAAGTGTTTGCTTGCTTATTGTATGATTATTGTTTGCTTGTGTTGAAGGTTTCAGTGGTGCTGTTTTTTTCTTTTTTTTTTTAGTTGCATTGCTCAATAATTAGGTCAGTACCATCAGTCTGTGTTAAGTTGCAAGTTTTGTCTTTTTGTTTCCAATTTCTGTTGGTACATACATACATAAAGAGAGACAGGTATTTTTATTTTTTCAAACTTGTCAGTGCTTATCAGATACACTATGTATGCATCATTCAGTTGACATCAATAATGCAGCTTACACTGAGGTATTATTTTGCACAATGGACTTATAAAGAAGTTTTAGCATACAGGACCGAGGTATGGAGTCATTACAATTTGTTCCATAGCTCATATAAAAGGATAGCCAAAAAGATGACACGTATGCATGAAAATGGAATCTTATTTAGGCACAATTCAGGAGAGATTTTGAGGATAAATCTACTTTGTGCAATACAAAATGTTCACATTTTGGATTCAATTTTTTAATGTGCACAACGGGAATTGCACATGGCTACTAGACTATGACTCACGAGTAATGTTTGCATGGGTGCTGTTTGGTAGTTTAAACTTTTAAAATTTGATACTGTCAATAGAGTTAAATGTAATGGAAAGTATTATACAAAACCTGCTGTAGAATTTGTACAAATGGAACTTGCTGTTGTCATGATTACTGTAAGAATTAAACTTGAAACATGAAATGTGTTATTATTATTTACCTTTATTTTCTTTCTGTTACTGACAATTGTACTTTCCCCTGTAAATGCAGCATGTTGCTGTTAGAAAAAAATATCTATCAAGATGAATTATTTTGTTAATGTAAGACAAATTTCTGGCATAATTTTACTACTCTCATTACATAAATCCAGTTTTACACGAAAAAAAATTGGTGAAGAGAACAACATACAATTTAGAATGAATTTCTACTTTCTCAACTATCATCCACTCTAAAGTAAGAAAGGTGAAAACTGATTGCACTTACAAGATCCTTCCTGAAATATCTTTTTATAGAATTGTCTTTAAACAGACACATATGTATCAACTACACCACTGCCTTTAGTAACACATTTTCAATCCTGGTTCTCAGAGGTGATTGAGATTTGATTGTAAAAAAAAAGTCAATTTTGGAAGTGTCAAGGACTTGCTAAACGTAATTTAAGGAAACTGTGCTGCACTTATCCTGGACCATAAGACTGATACAAAAGTATCATCATTCACACAAGATAAGCTTTCCCAGTAAATAATAATTCTACTTTCTACATTTTCACACATAATGACGAAAAATACAACATTTCATTAGCAAAATTGCAACAGGTTGACTAAATCCCTGCTCACATCCAGTGGTACCTTTAACTTGGCTAGTCCACTCAGAGAAAACTTAGTCTGGCTATTACTTAAGAGAGTCACCAAAACTGAGGTCCCGCACTAGCTGCAGTTGTACAATGAACTTGAAGTTATACCTAACCAATATGACAATGCCCTGGAGTCACATTTTCTTTGAACAGATTTCCCAATTCAGACCTCACAAACGATAAAAACACTTCAATAAATACCTGACATGGATATCTTTTTCTGAAACTTACAAGAAGACATGGTCTCATTAAAATAGCATATAACATCATCCATGTGCAGGTAGAGACCAAGGAATTACTCATGAGTAGAAGAAAATTATTTTCTCAAAGAATATACTGTTTGGTGAAAATATCCCTGATAGGATACCTTTAATCAGCAGCAAGCAAGAAATGAGTAGGAAAAAATGGCATTTTTGTTAAGTAAATTTGATTTGGCACAAAACTTGAATTCTTTCAACTAAACAGGAAGCAAAGTTGCGAAAGATCGTAAAAAACCCTGTACAGTTGAGTAATTACATGTTAGGAACTCCCAAAATGGACCAGTTTAGTTAAATGTACTCCTTGATGTGCAAAGAGCCCTACTGCCTAGACAACATAAAAATGACCAATAAAACGCTAGTAAACATTTATATATGTCTGACCACGACATGATCATGATTTGAATCTCATCCTGCCATTTTACATTTGAATCCATTTAATTCCAAAGCACAGGTGCACTACCACGGAGTATAATTTTTTAATTATTCAGCAGAATGTGCGTTTGCAGTCCTCAACTCACTGAACATCTGCTTTACAGAATCAAAATGATGGCCTCCTACCCAAAGTAGCACCCAAATGAGATGAAAAACCTCCTGTGGGAATGCTATCTGCCACAAAATCAATCTACAATGTCTATTTAACTAGAAAACTGTGTTGATCAACTGTTGGCATTTGTGCTGGAGTCATCAAAGGTTGATCCCTCTGGATGGAATTTTTTCACTGCACTTTCTTCATTGGTTTCTCTCTCAAGGACAGGTGGATCTGGATCTAAAATACAGAAGTCACATTTCTAGTACCTCTCCATTTCTTCTAAAGGAGGACTTAAATTCATATCACATCAAAGGACATTTATGTAACTGAAATGAACCAATGTCAAACTCACTGCATGAATTGAACAACAGCACGGGAAATGTTTGTTCTATTTGCATTTCTGTAATGTAAAGAATGTCATGATCAGATCATGATCAGAATATTGCATCCTTCACTACAAGCCACACATTACAGCTTCTGGTCTTCAACACTTACATGAGCTTTGGGCATCTTCTGTGAAGTTAGTAAAGGAAGGCTTGCTTTGGGAGTCATCTAGACTAGCACCTGAAGTATAAACCCCAAGTTTTTATGAATATGTTCATGATAATTTGAGCATGCTTTTAATCTACTTTTCTTTCTTGTTTTTATTTTCTTTTTGTTGATATTTTTGAATTTTGTTAATGTTATACATGTAGTTGAGTGTTTCATTCAACAGAATACTCTAACAGTGTTTATTTTATTCTGGCAAAAACAATCCAAAGTCTTCAGGAGGAATTCTGTTACAAATATACAATTTGACTGTAACAACACTTATGCAATGTCCATTTAAAAAGAAAAAAGCACATATAAAATTCAAATTTAAATATTATCTTAGTAACACAAATAAACTGACACCTACCAAGCTGCAAGGAGTCTCCATCCATGCTGTCTTGGTTCGACTCTTCTAGCATTGCAGAGTTGGGATAAGAGAGATTAGAGTCCTCATTGTTCAGGCTGGGCCCTTCACTGTGGTTGGAATCCTGAGACTGTCGGCTGTTCTCCTCTGTATACACAGCTATCAAAAACAAAGAGAAACAACATGTCAGCTTCATTTATGTAACTTCAGTGCACACCTGTTCCATAGGTACAAAGCTTTTAATACCTGTGCAGTATAATTATTTCTGTATATTGTAGAAAGTGACTGACAAAACAAACTTGCAGAAAAACTGCTGGAAAACCATGTACAGTATCTACATTACTAGTCCAAAATATAGGAAACACATTCAACACAATCTTTTTACAATTACTACACTTATATATCACAATATCAATATGATTACTGTGAAAACTGTATGTGTAGGGATCAATTAGTGGTTATTGCAGACAAATGCACTAGCAAAACCAGGCATCACCTTGGTGGTTGTATAATTCACAAGTAATTCAAAATAACTGCTTTATAACATTATAGTAGTGAGTCAGGAAATTTGCCATGCTGTCAACTCTGAACCTTCCACACACCTTGACTTGTACTGTCTTGACTCAAGCCAAGGTCAGTTTCTGGAACAGATAATTTTGTCTTGTCCTTCTCTTTAGCAGACAGCTTTCTTCTTTTAGCACCAGGCTGGTATAAAATAAAGAGAAAACCCTTGTCAGTGCAAACACACTGTCTTCAAAAGATCTTCACAATGTATCCACCTCGTGTTTAGGATAGATCACTATTCAAATCTCTAAGTCAAATTTCATTAGAGACTTCCAACATCTGACAACATGATACCTAAGTAGATAAAAATTAAAAATTAATATTACGTTCTTGAAAGACTGAGTTTTGTTCTAGCCAGAAATTTAAGAGATCCTACATACCTGACCATTTTCTCCAGAAGACAAAACTAAAAACAAAATAAGAATAACTTAAACCATATGAATAACGATCATTAACATGACTGTGTAAATATTACTACAATCCTTAATGTTTAAATTAAAGAAAGAATATTTTAAATAAATTTATAATTGTTACAAAATTCAATATCCTGGGCCCATGCCTAAATAATAATTACACCCACTTTCATGCACATTTGCACTGTCATAATTCATATTGCATTATGACTTTTTGTTTCAAAATAGGTTTTTACTATCACTAAATCATAAGTAAATATTACACTACGTTTTTATTATTTATTTATTTATTTATTAGAGTACATCTAGTACGGACAGTAGTGGTGAGGGTGTAGAGAGCCTCAGAATGTATCACGTAAGTCGTAACTTATGCTCAAATAAGTAACATTTATATTACCATAGTTAATCATCATTATTATTATTATGTCAGATTTCATCTTACCTGGTACCCATTTGAAGATCTTCATGGTTGTGTCTCCTATTGTCACCCATTTCTTCTCCCTAGGAAAATGCATATAAAAGATGAATAAACAAATGGACTGTATATTAAATTAGCTTGTTGGTAAATCTGAATATTGTGGAAATGAGAAAGACGGATGGAACCCTTGGACCGATAGCTGTTTTGTCTTAGTAAAAAAACACATCGTTTTGGCACGAATGAAGTTTAGGCAAACTTTCGGAAACAGGCGACCCAGTGACACTGACAGAGTGAAAAAGTAAAATGAGCATACACTAAATCTTACCATGATCTCACGTGATCTATAGCATTTATCACCCTCTTAATATCTTCCTTAGCCCGACTGCGGGTTTCCGCACGGATCGAGCGTGACAGCATTGCATATATACTTGAACAAAACGTCTGCTCAGATGAATCAATGTTAGGAAGGTAAAATAAATTAACACAAAGGCAAAGTCAGTCGTCTGTGGGTACTGAAGACTAACAGAAAGCGGTTCGATGCACGGCTTGCTCAATAGGTGGCAGCACGCAAAGAGCAATTATCCAGTTTGAGGACAGTATTTCATGCCCCAGGAATATTGAAACACCTGGCTACTTAATTATTGTGACAGTTACAGTGTAACTCTGCTTTTGTGCATAATCCAAATGTTTCTATCAGCCCAATTGTTCAATATTTTGTAATGGGAACATTTTGATAGGGTTAAGATCATCTATATACCAAAAAGTGGTCTGAAATGTTTTTTTTTCTTTAATTAACTAATGATTAATAAAAAAAGATTACTCCAATTACAAGGCCACATCAGTGACATTTTATTATTTTGTGAGTTTAGTCCTGCACCTTGAATTCAGTTTGAAGCCTTAACAAGTACTTGGAATTGCTATATCCTTTAAAGGGCTTGTATTCCATCATTTTTGTCCTTGAAAAGTACTTGATTTTATCACCTAGAAAACCTGTAAAAATCATATCTTGTAGTTTTAAACCTGAATATAAACAGGATTTGCAGAAGGGGGGAATACCCTTTTTGGACATTGTTCTTTTCATGTACATCATCAATGTACAAAGTTAGTATAAAATAGTACTCATCTTTATTTTTGGTATGTGCACTTATAAATGAAATTGCCTTGCCCTCCTTAACATTCAAAATTCTTTCCTTGAAATGACAACTTGACAAAAAAAAAAAAAGAAAAAAAAAAAATCCAACTCAGATATAATGTTGCATTCAATTTTTTTTTCTTTTTCTCCGCCTGGACCGACTGTAAGCTCCCCCTGATATCCTGTTTGTAAACTCGTCAATTCAATTGCCTTTAGTTTGTTACAGATTTTTTCAGTTCCATATGTGTGTACTCGCGCTCGTAACATTTATAAGCTTTTTATAATGTAGCTCTTTAAAATAGAATTTAGTAAATCTATATTTTTTAAAACTTGAACTTACCAGCCTTTAGAAAATCAGATTTTGCAATGTAGTAACAAATGTTTTATGAAATGTTACCAGTCACATATCAAAAAGTAAACACAGACAAGAAACATAATGCACACAGACTACAAAGAAAAATTTTGGGCAAGACTTGTAATGTACATCAGTGCTTAAAAAATAATTCCATTGAATAAGCGATAAAAATCCCATAAAAAATTCATACTCTTTATTCAATTATTGTTTTACACTTCAGAGTCAACTTATTGTCATAAATACAAATTAATGAAACTGATGAAATTCAGTGCTTCCTACTTCACAGATTTATAAAACTTATCACCTGAGGGTACACATGAAACCTGGACTAAGATGAGACCATCTGAAGAAACCGATCTATCAAAAGTAGCACTGCATATTATTATTATTATTATTATCATTATAAAGAGATTGCCACTTGAGTATCAGAGACACCAAGTGTCACCATATTAACTATGTGCAGAATGACTTCACAAAGATAAGGTTTCTTGAGAGTTCACCTACATTTAACAGAATGACCTCATGAACAGTTTGTATAAATCAACCAAGTAGAAGACAAAAATATTTGGACTTGCTTTTATGAAATGCACAGGCTATGAATTTTCAGCAGAACCTTGCTGCACAATGTATGAGAATCAACAGAGAAACTCGCAAAGATCCCGAGTATCTTATGTGGATAAATGTTACTTTTTTGATACCCATTTTAAAACAAATCTCTCCATGTGACTCCCTAGTTTAATGCTTTCAATTAGACCATTTCCACAGCTGTGCACAAAATTAAAATTCTCAACATGGTGTGCCCATATGAGTGCACCAAGTTTAGATAATAAGCATTTTAAGAACCTTTACAGCACATTTACAGAAAGTTCCCTGGGTGATTAACACTGGTCTAGTTCTTGTCATAATTCTTTTAAGTATTAGAATGTGATAAATATTCCTCCAACACAAAGATGAAGTCTTGCCAGCACTAAAAACATTTGGTACTGGTTACTCAAAGGAGAGTATTGTACTGAGCAGACATCAACTTAACGTCTTAGCACAACCCCATTTCTCTTTAGCATTCATATTTGGTTTGTTATATTTATTTATATATATATACATAGGCAATGTGGTTTGGATTTGGCTACAAAGATGTGGAATATGCCAAGTATCTTTGAACAATCAATGGCAGATTCTGAATTGCAATAAAATCACTGGTCTGTTGCAAATGCCACAGAGCATTACCGAAATTTACATCACTAATGAAACATACCCACTATACTACACATACTTTGCAATGCTCGTGTCAATGGCAACAGATGATGAATAATAATCTAGCCATCTTTTTGTATTGTCACTGCAACATTTGATGTTTCGATTGGCTTTGAGCCACCTCAGACTGGACCGTTTCCATGGAGGCCGGCTATTATTATGAACCACATCCTGTACCCCTTGTGACTAATTTTAGATGGACAGTTTGTATTTTTAATTTACATAGAATACAGTAATATGCTACTTTGTACAACAACATGTTTCTTGTGTTTTTTCTTTTTTTGTTAAGCCTTAAGTGTTTTAATTGTTTAATATATCGTCAAGTTTTTATATCTTCTTGTAATTGTGGCATGACGTCCTCTATAGCACAGGAGAAATAGACAACACTGTTCTCTTCGTCTGCTAATGACTGTGTTATGATGGATGAATTGGATAAATATATCTGTCTAGAAAATTGTCACTGCAACTGCAATCACTGCCAAAACAACCTATCATTTCTTCTTTCCTTGGTTCCTAGGAGGGGTGACAGGACGCCCAGCATTAAGTCCTCCATAGGTAAATTTCTTCTTATCAGCAGGCTTTAGAATCTGTAAAAGTTATGTGAAGGTAGGGAGATTACATTTTTCCTTTATTCTTGCCATTGCCACGAGGAGGCGTGACAGGCCTACCTTGTTGTAATCCACCATACGGAAACTTCTTTTTGTCAGCAGGTTTCAATATCTGTAAGGAAAGGAAAAGCATCCCCTGTGAATGACGACTCATCATTGTACAGGTTTAGCAATCAATGATCCCAGCAACAGAAAGAGAGGGAGCAGTAGCAGTGAGGGAGCAGCACCAGGTGGACCAGGACCAAAATGTGCCCAGAGCCAAGACGGCAGCATGGAAAGCAAAGACAGAGGGGCATCTCATGCAATTTACAATAAGCAGAAGCTCTCTTCAGCAGCAGCAGCAGCAGCAGCTGTAACCGGTGAAAATACATAACAAGAGACGAACAAAAGACAGAAATGAGAACTGAAATTGCAAACAAATATGAAACAAATGGGTATAATGCACACAAAACGTACAATTTGTTACGTTTTCTTTTGCAATTACACACATACAATATGATACAATATATGACTGCAATCAATCACACTAAACATGATTAGAATCCCAAAGGCTTATAATACACATGCATTTACAGCACAAAATGAAATACTTTGACAACAAGCTGCAGTATAATGTTCAAAGTTGATGTATCATTTTACCTTATATTTTGGGGGGAAATGAAAATATGTGCAATACAAAGCCAAGTCTGAAAGCATGTAAAGGAAAAAGCTTTTTTTCTGCAGTTTCATGCAAAAAATATTCCATTTACAGATAAGCTTGTTTATAAATATTTTCTCACCTGAAACGAACACATAAGTGTCTCATCCACACTCATCATAGCACCAGCGTTATCGAATTCCCCGCAATAGTTTGGGGCAGAAAATAATGTGACTAGCTGCCTCTTTGCAAAGAATTCATATCCATCTTCCACAACCTAAAATAAAAATACTTTGCCCTTTTATGTCAAATGCTATTTCTCATTACATAAACTTGGTTTATCAGTGTGAAATTTAAAACAATATAAAACAATATAAAATGTCAAACAACTTTGTCTTTTATCCAATCTTAAGGCACAAAATTACAAATTTCAATGGCCAATGAATTACCTGATGCGCCCTACATATCAAATCCAAATCATGTTTGTGAAGAAATTTGGCAACCACTTCTGCTCCAAATGTGAAGGAAACTCCTCTGTCGTTCTCTCCCCAGCCCATTGTCTCCTTGTCTGGGTCTGACCAGAGCAGATCACACAGCAAGCCCTGGTCTGGCACATCTGTGGGCCGCATGATACGGCGGATCTGTTCCATGGATTGCAGATCTGGACTTAAACCTGACGTGAAAATCCACTTTACAGTTAACACAAATGGTCTTTTTCTGACTGCTTCATTAATTTCTGTCAATTTTTTTTTTAAATCTTAATTTAAATCGACTCTACCAGCCAAGTATAACATTATTTCTTTGTACAGGTTATATGACACCCTTAAACTGATCACAACTTATCTTTCTAAAAAAATTTAATATATCAGTTCTTTTCAATCCAATACAAGTATATACAAAAAGCCTTACCACCATGGCAGCAGAATATTTTCTCATCAATGATTGCAGCAATGGGCAGACAATTGAAGCAGTCTGTAAATGTTTTCCACAACTTAATATTGTACCGCCTTTTACCTGAATAAGTAATAAGGAGACATTAAACCTCAGTAACAAAAGCCGTCTTGCCATGAAAAATAAGCAAAACTGAAAAGATATCTCAAAAATGATACTGTAATAATAATACTTATTATAATATTCTAATGAAATTAAAACATCACCTAGATGAAATTTATAGATGTTACTATTAATGCTCATTAGTGCATACTTACATTCATCATAAAAACCATATATTCTGTTAATGCTTGCACACTCATGGTTCCCTCGTAAGAGAAAGAAATTCTCTGGATACTTGATTTTATAAGCTAAGAGCAAACATATCGTCTCTAGTGACTGTTTGCCTCTGTCTACATAGTCTCCCAAGAATAAGTAGTTGCTCTCTGGTGGGAAACCACCATATTCAAACAAACGTAGGAGATCATAATACTGGCCATGAATGTCACCTGGAAGGACATAAAACAATGGTAATGTTTATTAATTACCAGCAGTCTGATGTCAGCAAGTAACACTTAAAACTATCTTCATAAAATAAGGATGCTTTCAGGTTATCTTTTTACTATTTCATCCTAGAAAAGTGCTAACATTTATTTGCAATGATCTTACAGTTTTTCTAACAGGAAGATAAAATGGAAACCTGATGCTTACATAAGCACTGCAAACTTAGGCTTCGTTCACATGCAATGTCTATTTTATATTTTCTATTTTCTATTTGCGGTATGTCTTATGATCACGGTCTGTGCACTGAATATCCCGCGGCGTAATTACTGGCAGCGCGAGCCAGTTACTATAAGTTACTATAAGTAACTGGCTCGCGCTGCCAGTAATTACGCGGCGGGATATTCAGTGCACAGACCGTGATCATAAGACATACCGCAAATAGAAAATAGAATTTAGAAAATAGACATTGCATGTGAACGAAGCCTTAACCTCACAGCCAAGAATGACATATCTACTGCATTTCTGTAAAGACCAGATCAAAGGTGCATCTAATTTTTGATTCATTTACGTTCTCTTAGCTGGGGCATTTGTCTCAGGAGAATAATAAAGACTGCCAAATGATACTGTGGATTGCATAGACTACAATAAACAGTATGTGAAGATACATTATTTCACTTTGATATGGTCAAGCCGAAAGGAATGCAGAGAAAATTCAAATTCCAATCACAATTTCAACATATAACATTGCCCTAAATAGTTTCAATAGCTCTGGTTGCTTTCTTTCAATTTTCTATGTCAATACACCTGGTTTATCACAGCTGCACCAGATTCTCTGACAGGTGCCACCAATGATTAATTGGAACATGGAGGGTGAACTACTTTTCTTTTGATTTTCTTCCTTTTACCCGAGACATTCCAAATTTATTATTTATATCTATGACGCAGTACAACTGTATTGACTGGTGTTGAAAGGTCAAACCTCTGTCAGATTTAATTCTGATATCCTTGACACAAAATTATACAATGTCACCTCCCCTGTTTGTTCCAGACCAGTTTTAAAAACATGCTACAACTTACCACAGATCTTTATTGGAGCTTCTAGCTCCAACAGAATTGGTTGGCTGAGAAATATTTCTCTGGATTTCAAGCAAAGGCCCCTGATTTCATTTTCTGTCAGCTGAACATTTTTGCCAGATCTGGAGCCTCGAACTGAAAACACAAGTAGATGGATGCAATAACAACTTACCGCATATCTTTAGTGGAGCTTCCAACTCTAAGAGAATTGGCTGGCTGAGAAAAATTTCTCTGGATTTCAAGCACAGGCCCCTGATTTCATTTTCCGTAAGCTGAACATTTTTGCCAGGTCTGGATCCTCGGACTGAAATCAAATGAAACAGGATTACTCCACACAGCACTGGTCTGCTTCATTACCACAAGGTTGAACTGCTGTGGAAATAACACACTCAAGCAAAGCAACACTCAACACACAAATTAAATATCTATGTTTAACTGAAATTGAAATTACAACATTACATATGAACAATAAATGTTTACTTGTCTCATTAAGTATTACTATAAATAAAAGCAAAACCCATTGGTTTTCAATTTATCGTAGGAATTTTGGTTATTTTTCAGATCAACAACATTTTTCAGTTGCTTAAACTTTAATAAGACTGGTGTACTCTGCTCTGGAAATTTAACAAACAAAAACTTTGTTATGTTATTATTACAAAAGTAAACAACCCATGTTGCGGGTGACTGTCATATGCTTCCTTATCTATAGGCTATCAAGCATACATTTTTTTTCAAAGGAAGATTTCAGACCACTCCCTTCAGTCTTACAACTCATCTGCCAATTTGCCAAAGGCAGATTTTACAAAATCCTGAAGCCAAAACTATCATTACTATAAGCTTTAAAAAAATGACCAGATGAAATTCAGTCAAGCACTACTGCAGTTATCGAACTTGATTAGGTTCCTAGGTTATCTATTATCTACCACACTTATCTGTGCCAGTCATTGTAAACATCCCTGTGTCACAAGTGTACAATCATTGTCAACATGAAAGTTTCACATTTCCCAAATAGCTGTGACATAAACAGGTAAAATTGACCCCCCCCACCCCCCAAGAAATAGATATAACCAGTACACTGTGTCACATGCCAATCTCAAGGTTTCAAGCTCCACACCACAAATTCTCATTTTTGTGATACCCTTTTGACCGTACTAAAAATTAGCCCTCACATTGAAATCGATAGTCACATGCTATTAACCAGGATATATATCTTGTCATTTACACTTCAAAATTTGGCTTTTCTTTTTTTATTGCATGAATAAATCCTAGTGTAACTGAATATTATCATATGAATCATCTACAATATGCTGAGTGTACTAGTATCTTAGTGATGCACTATCTGTTGGCACATTGGGCATAAGCACAAAACAACCTAAAACACGCCAAATAACATCTTAGCCAGGTAAATTGGGTAGTGTGGCAAAGTCCACTTGAGATTAGGTAGTGAGATGCGGTTTATAAAGTCTTGTTTGGTTGTAGATGAAATTAGCTGATAAATAGTTTGTGTCTTAATAACTGTTTGGATGGTCTGGATTTACTTGGTGTTGTTTCATAAAAAGAACTACAACAACCAAACCAAGTCACTGACGAAAACCTGATGACTTTTGTATGTTTTATCCTTTTAGAAATAAAATAATATTTGTGATGAATTTAGGAGCTGAATATCTAATTTAACCAAATGGCTTCAAAGAAAGACCATTTTAGAAATTTCCTTATTCATAAAAATTACATGACAATTTATTTAACCTACAACAGAATGAACAGAATGAAAGCTTTAAGAGAGGCAGCAAACTACAATCATTAACATGCTTGTGTAAGAGAACACATCTGGGTGACATTGTTATTGTGCTTAAGTACGAGTCGAACTGTGGATGCACCATGACAACAGTCGTGAAATGTTATTTTTCAAATGGTTGTACACGATTCCAGATCCTGCTTTCAAAAAGCAGAGAGCATATATTTAAGAATAATTCATTCAGATAAAGAACAAAAATAGATAAACGCGCTCTTGTTTCAATGGTAACAAAAATTGAACCATTTCAATGATTTCGTTACAATATATTTGCGTTACTCTTTTTAAATCAAACCATATTCGTTTTAAAATTTCGATAGCACGGTGAAGTTTGTATGGCAAACCTAAAAGGCATGTATCACATCGCCAGACAGTCGTTGAATTTGCTGTGAAAGTGGTTGCTACAAAATTTTCACCGGTGATTCAAATCCGGAATAATGGCCGCTACGTAAACAAGATACCCCTCTTGACTTACCTTCTAAAAGTCGTGCAATTATGCTGTCTATATTTAATTTGTCTGCATCCGCCATAACTTTGGATACGTTTGATGTTGTTCCTTATTTTTTTTACCGACTTTGGGCTGGTAAATCTTTGATGATGGCGGATAGAATACACGAATAAAACCAACCCTTGTCAAAATGGCGGTCGTTACGAAGGCGGATGAATATACAGAAACTGCTAATGAAGAAATCACAACAAGACCAGCTTGCACCTTCGAACTAGTTTATTTATATTTTTAAAATTTAGTTTGAAATGATAGGCTTCCAAATTATTAAAGTATTTAATATTTCGTTAATTATTACACCTTTCTCTTACTACGGGTGAAAAAACAGAAATAAAAAGATTTTAACGGTTGCTAACATTCCACCCTTTCAGTTGTCATTAGGGATGCTGGGATATGTGGCCAGACAGTCAAAGAGCAAGTGCTCTGGGGCTGGAGTTACGCTTTCAACTTCAAGCATATAGATACCCTCATTTGTGGGTTTCTTTGGCTTGACATGGAAGATTTATTACAAAACAAGAGATAATGTTTAAAATGTTTCAAGTTTGATCTACGTAATAGGAACATGGTTATTAAAAGAAAAGGTAAGTGATGGTATATATCTGCGAGTTCTGTGGATCTAAGACAGTGAGAGTGGCTAGTGTCAGGTACTCGTAGTTTACTTTATATATGTAGTAGTAATTCAAGTATTTTAGAGTGATGTTTGCTGATTGCCAAGTACCAGCATTTACATCTATAATTGATTAACATAGTTTGAACATTGTGAATTGACTGACAAATCGGACAAAATATGGTTTATTCTGTGAATACAATAAGAGATCAATCCATGATCTAAATGTATTGTCACAGTCAGGGAAAACATAAAGTAGTAGTTTGATTCCTTCTGGAGTTAGCTTGTTAGGCAGCTGTAGTTTATTACCTATATATACAATAATATCTGTGTGGTGCACATTCTGGATAAAAACTGTGTAATATAATTACTATACTGAGGTATAATAATCTGGCCATAAAACAAATTGAGTGCACAAGCAAGCAACTCCATTAAAATTGTAACTTTACAAGTCTGGGGATTATTCTTGTGAACTAAACAATTGTCAACACTGAGGAACTTCATTATCTGTAATGTACGTTATGCCTTATAGTGAGTCTGTTAGTGCTACATATACCAGTACACTAATGTGTGATAGCAGTTGCAGTCAGTGCTCCGTAACTTGAAAGAGTCGCCCATTGCAACCAAGCTCAAGCACCTCGTTTTTTTTCATATCTCGCCCATACTCGCCTCATATGGGGTTTTGGAATCGAGACTCTTTCGCTCGGTCGTAATGCGCGATGTTTTTGAGTTACGGAGCCCTGGTCTGTGTTTTTGTGGCTTTTACCCTTGTGGCTTGTTGGTATCAAGTTTTTTCTATGTACACATTCTGTAATTGTTAGTGCACTACAGTTCTCACATACATACCTAGTACATGTGCATGTATTTTGAAATGATGTCACATTTCTTAGATGTTGAGGGTTTATCCTTAACTGACAAAAGAATAGACCTGAAAAGAGTTGAGTGTTAGTTTACAGTATATGGAAGTGGAAACAGTGCCATCATCAACGACCAGCATCACAATGTCTAGATAAGGGGAGCTTACCATCAAAATTTACCTTTAACCACCCACCTCCCCTCCCCCCCCACCCCCAAAAGAAAAATCTTTTTGTAAAAAAGCTAATTTTTGATTCTGTTTGTTTTCAGATTTCCAGAAGGCAGCAGCTTTTATAAATGAATTTCTTCTTAAGCTTGGTGAAGGTGTGGAGTGTGCAGAGTTAAGGGATTCCCTCAACTTGACCTTGCTGTATATGCAGAGGTATTATCGAACATTAAGGTTGCGATCTCAGTCAAGAGAAAGGACAGATAATCAAAATGAACAAAATCTGGGGATGTCCGTGCGGGGGCTGAGCCCTATGACTCCATTCAGAGATGTCCCCGACAAATTTCACTGGCGCTGGATAAATATCGACAGTCCTAAAGTATCAGGGAGTTTACCGCTGGAGGGAGATCTGGTTACTCTTCCTTTGGTTATTCAGGCAGCGAAGCAGGGAGACATCGAGTTAATTGAACAGCTATTGGAAAAGGGTAAGCAAGGTGTTGGATGATGTGCTGCTGGTAGTATTAGAACAAGTTTTTTCATTTTTAGATGAAACCTACCAGTACAGTTAATAAAATTAATATTAGAGTGGTCCTTTAAAAAAAAATCTTTTAATGAAATTTTTCAACTTGATTTAAGGATCACTAATTATTTTATTGACCTGACATTGAATACAACATTTCAGTAACTAAGTAAAGATTTATCTTTGGAATAGTAGAGTACCTCTGTGGAACAGAACAATATACTATTTATGTGCTCAATTGATTTTACACCCAGCAGGGAGGCATAGTCAGATAATTATGTACACTAGTGAATAATTCAAGAGAAAGAATGGATGAGAATTGGCATAATCTGTCAATAAATAATTGAATACTGTCCATAAACAAGGTACATGCAAAATCATAAATAATTATATGAATCACCTCAATGCTAATTAATATACACTGTATGCTTTAAGACATGAAGTGTCCGAACTAGAATTACTAGTAGTTGCTTTTAAATAAGTGTCTTATATATGTTCACTAGTTACTCTTTAGAAACTTGGATTTTGTTTTGAATGTGTGTAACTAAAAAAAAAATTAAGATGAAGAAATTTTTATTCTACTATATAGGCCATTAATTGTTTAGTATATTTAATAGATGACAGTGCTTTTCATGTTCCCGAGGAACCAGAATTATTTACAGATCAAAAATGATTTGAAATAAAAAAAAAATTAAAGATTCAGCAGTCAATATGCTTCTTCCCAAGTAGCTACAAAGTAGATGATAAGTTGCATTTTATGCTATGCTAAGATAAATCAAAGGAAGAAAAAGATAGTAATTCAACAATATTCCCTTTACTTGTTTAAAATTGTTTTGCCAAAAAAGTGATGCCTTTATTTTCAAGCAAAGTCTGTTATTGTGGTAATATGAATTATGTGAATATGAAATACAATGGCTAACAACATGTTAATAGCAGTCAGAATGTCATGCTTTCTGGGTGAGCTGTCTTCCTTTTATGAATTCTGGACTTACTGATTTGATTCATTCAAATTTGATTCATTCAATTCAGTCAAAATTTTTTGTTTTATGCTAGACCAGTGTTTACATGTGAAAACCTTGTTTTCTTTTAAATACAACTTAATTTGCTCTTTTGCATTGATTTATTTTGAAAAATACCCATCTGATCCATAACCTTTGAGTTACCAAGGTAAAAACCATGGAGTTCTACTGCCTGATCAATACTCTGAGGTATAATAATCTGGTAGTTAAATTGGAAATATTGATCAGGAGCTTCTTTTTTAGGTGTCACAGGGGCTAATTTACTAATGTTTAACGTCAGCGACGAGCATTAGCAGAGTGATATATTATTACATCTGAAACATACTCCCTGACAATAAATTACATATGTGCAAAATCATTTTATCCTGATTGCGTTTCAGATCTGCTATGAAGTTGATCATATCAGGATTGAAGAATGTATTACCAAGAATGTTCAACCTAAATGGCCAAAATCGTCCTGTTAAAATGAACCCTAAAGATGTTTTTTTCCCCAGATTTAAGCTTTGGTTTTGGTACCTATAAACTCCTGAAGTTTTTCCATAGAACTGCAATTTAACATTGATTCTAAAGTACATCAGCACAAAATTGACACTTGAATACAACTCTAAAAGGCAAATTCTAGCCTCAGCTTTAGACCACAACATGTGCCAGCCCTGCAGGTGCCTAGCAATTAACGGATTAAATCTCAGATCCAAGGTTAAATTTTTAAGCCCTAGCAAGGCTGGCACATGTGGTAGGCAGGGAGACCATTAGGGCATTAGCAACATCACTCTCAAGTTGGGTCAGCCATTTCTTATCCGCAGACCAGTTAGTTCCTGGATCATCTGTTCTGTTTGCGACCATAGGTGCCCAAAAATCACGGACCATGCTGATTTATGACTGAAACGATGTTAAATCACACTTCTATGAAGAAATTAAACCTTCTGAAGTTTCCAGATACGTAAAACAAACCTTATGTAATCTTGGTAATACATTATTAATCACATGTATAGGCACTGCAAATGACTTGAGTTGTTCCTTTTACCTGCATCTAAACTTTTGTTTCTTGCTACCATGTTATACTCATTTGCCACACCATATTCCCATTTTGCTATATGTTAAGTTGAGGCTTTGGGGGCGTCTCGATAGTCCGAAGGTTCATTGGTCCGAAGGTTCATTGGTCCGAAAAGTGGTAACATTTTCATCGATTTTTTCATTGGTCCGAAGGTTCTATAGTGAATATTCGGACCAATGAACCTTCGGACTATTGAACCTTCGGACTATTGCTACGGCCCCGAGGCTTTTATCAGTATATGGTCAAAATACATGTCACATGTGAAAATTGGCAGTAATGTGTAATTTTTACAGAAGTAGTTGTTATCCCATTTCAATTTTTTTGTGCATCAATTGTAATTCAGAATAAGCTTGAAACATATCATTGTTGGTGCATATCAAAAAAGCAGTAGAGAGGGGCCACATTGCAATAATATTTATATTTCATTTTTTGTGTTTATCTGGAATTTCTCTGGGCACCTGCTAATGTATTTACTGTACATTGAATTAGATAACAGAAAAGCTTTTCATCGGTTTTAAAGTCACAGGTAAATGTTATCTACTAGTAAGTATTTTCCCCATAAAAAGGCCATTAAACAAAAGTGGACATGTTTTATGTGGTTAAAGATTAAGGACACGTTTAGTTTTACATGTACTTTTTTTGTCTCATAGATATAAATGATACAAAATATATAGGCTGGGACCACAGCCCTTGACCCCATTTCGACTTAACCTGTTCCTTGATCAATACCAGCAAATAGGCACCCTTTGTGGGCTCCTCGATAAATCTAAATGCAAATGGAGATTTTGTTTGTATAGGCGTGTGCATTCTGTGCCCATTAACAACAATAGCTAGCAACTGCAAACACCATATAAATACAGAATTCCTTACTTTACAACATTTAACTTTATTTATTTTCTTTTTCACATGTCAGGCACCTGTTCTTTGTAGATGTTTGGTAATTGCTGTTGTTATAACCCTTGGCAATATTCCATAAAATTTAATTGTGCAGGTTGTTACATTGCTGTAGACTCTGAAGCAGAATATGGGTGCAAATTTTCACTTATATTCCAAGAACTAAAAATTGTTAAACCCAGGCTTATGTTCATTTGTTTTGCTGTGACTTCACATCTGTTACCTTTTAGGTGTTAACTCTATAGTAAATAGCACGCCAGAATCATAGAATTATCGTAAATGTTCAACCTTACAGCTAACCACAAACCACAAAGCCAATTATTTATAGATTTTGTCTGTAAATGTAATCCACTGATAAGAGAGGGAAAGGTTGGTACAGAGTATTTACATACTGTACATTGCTTTGCAGAACTTCATACCATGTGCTTTCCCATTTTCTGTGGATTAAAATTGTTAAATAAATAATGAATAAGTAAAGAAAGATAGAAAGCATCTAAGGGGCCATCACAAGGCCAAAGTTTGTGGTGTAGGTGTGAAAGAGGAGTTGTAAAATCCATAATTGTTGGTGCTGTTTTAAACCCAAAAATGCACTTGATCTAGAAAAGGCCTATGGAGCCTTTAAATTAAATCATTACAATTAATTAATAAGGAGGCGCCAACTTGTTCACACTTATGAAACCTTAGGACACCAATATAAAAATAGTTATGACTTACCTGTCATTTATATCTTGCAAAAAATCTTTTATTCAATGCAGCCATATAGACCATATCAACTGAACACATTTAGAAAGTCCAAACTTTTCATATATTGCACCTTCTTAAGAAGTGATAGGAAATATCAATATTTCAAACTTAATATCCATATAGGAAATCTATTTGAAAAAAAGTAGAATTTGTGGGCTTATCATATTTTACCTTTATTTTTTTTCTCTTCAATGCTACTTGATTTTAAAATTATCTAAATATATCACTTTTTTTCATAATTGAAACATTGAAAAACCAATCTTTTCTTCCTTTTAAGTAAGAACAATTGTTTCATGCAACAAGGATCTCAGTTAACCTTAATACTGTGATGGAGTCAGAGAAGATAAACTCTACTTATTTTATTTTTGTGTGATTACTAGTGATATGATCTCTCTACATAAAATGGAGATTAAACAGCATTATTCTAAGTGTATATTTAGCTTTATTTGTTTTCTGTACGTGAATTTGTGTTGTCTCCCAATTTCNTCAGATACATTTGATTAGCAGACCTATATTGTCTTTCTGGCAGGTGCAACGTTATCCTTTCTTTTCTAGTAAAATCTAATATATTGCTCTCTGTTTTCTAATTATAAATCCAACATTTCCAGCACATCAGTTACTCTGAGATTGCAATAATGACCTGTGTCTGCCATTTGAATACATATATAATCAGCAATGTGTCTGAAAAAAAGACCAGTTTAAGTCACAATTGATTTTAGATATCCGCAAAGAAGGGCAGTACAGCATAGGTGAATGTGTACTATATACAGCATGAATTTTTTTCATAAATGTCAATGCGTGGTGTCTTCTCGTTTCTGTACTGCATATATATTTATATATATGTGCAGTTGTTGGCTCTTTGAGCTAATGAAAACATGTGACATATGTGGGGTTCCCACATATGCCACATGTTATTCCTTTTGATTTTAAGAAGTCTTTGGATATATCTTTTAACATAAATCAATACATTTGATCAGCCAGGTAATTGTTATCATTTTTCAAATTAGGACATCTAACATTTGGTAAGTTTTTATATTGAAAAAAGGGTGAGTCAGGAATAACTGTTTTACAGAATTTCGAAGAACTTGATCAACTGATTATATTACCATCATTTTTCATCTTGTTTCAGACAAACGCTGTATTGACCAGACAGACAGTCATGGGCGAACATGTGTAATGTATGCTGTCCACTTTAAGCAAAATGAGGCCTTGAAGATATTGCTAGACAATGGTGCTGATGTCAATGCTGTGGCATATGGTGAGTGTATATAGAGCAGTCCAGTTGGTGGAGATACACAATTTTTATTCACCAGCTGTGAGCAGACTTGAGAGAATCAGCAGAAGTTGTCCAGTGGACATGTCCAGTGGACATATTCATACAATATTCCAACATTCTTGTTTGGGTGCTTTTAATCTTGGAAACATACCTAGAAATAGTGCAAGCTCATGTTTAGTAGTGAATGTGAAAGTTGTGTGCAAAAAGCATACTTTTTTTAAAACAAGCATACTTTTAAAAAAAATAACTTAAGTTCCTTATAACTGTTTAAAGTTAGTTAGATATACATTTTCCTTTCACACATGGTATATGTGTGCTTTTAAATTTACAACCGCACATTGAAATCAGAAGGGATGGGTGGTTGATATATCAGGAATAACCATTTGTATTTAAATGGTGCAGTACAGAGTCAATGTCCTGTGTATATATGAGATGACCACACTGTTACAGTTGAAGTGTGTTTTTCAGATGGCTCCACTGCTGTCCACAGAGCATGTTGTGATGGTCACCACGAGGCCCTGAGAATACTAATTGACCACCAGGCTGACCTGACCACAGGGGACTGTATGGGAAGGGCACCTGTACATTGGGCTGTCTCTGTACCTGAACAGGACTGTTTAAAGGTGAGCCAGCCTGCTGTACCCTGAGTGTCAGAGCAACGTAAAAGCTAGCTTGCTAAATATACCTTGTGGTGGAGTCGCTTTTACTAGCACTGAAGACCAGCAGCCATGTTAGGTTTCCGTCAATCAAATAGAACTGCTCCGCAGTGAATCTGCAGTTGAATGTCATCAGACCAAAATAAAACGTAAAACAAATTTAATTCTGCTTTATTTAATTTATTTGCTGTATTTAAGATTTAAAGTGAAAAAATAAATAATATTCTTCGGAAATAAAAGGTATATCCAATGTTTTTGTATTTTTTGCTTATCAAAGAACATTTAGTCCTGAGCTATACACGTGCACAATACATGTGCTTACCATGTGCCAAATTTGACAGCTACACTGTATGCCTGATACCACTATAAGGGCTGCGCAATGGCTACACGCAAAAAAGTTTTTACAGCAGAATGTTGCTTGTATTGTGGCACTGACCTTCGACTGCAAGATATTTTCAATTCAAACTTCTAACTCCGCGTCAGGCACTTTAATTGCTTCTTGTCTCGCCTGCACGAGACTTCAGCGCAAGGCGGGAAAGGCAGCTCCAGGCGGCCAAACCTGTGACGTACGAGACTTATGACTTCCAAATATGGATCCAGGCGGACACAGCTGTGACGTGTGACTTCCAAATATGGAAGCGCCCCAGGCAGAATTTTGAAGAAGAACGTCCCCGAGTTGCCGCTGTTCGCTAGAGTCTGGTATTGCTACTATGGGTTATATATGAAATCAAGATCGAGCTGGCAATACCGGAATCTAGAACCTAGGGTAGCCTGCTGAGGAGTGTGGAATATCTGTTCCTATAACATGAGATTTTTTTTAAATATCAGACTGATGTATAAATATATTTTATGCCACCAGACTGATTTATATGTATATTTTCCAGTGATGATAATAAGTAATTAACACGATTTTTATTATGAAATTACCATTCTATCTCTCTGCTGGTCTTTCTTGCAGTTGCTGCTGGAACATGAAGTATCAATCAATGTGAGGGACAAGGACGGCATGACCCCCAGTATGTGGGCATGTAGGATGGACCACATCCAGCACTTTGAGCTGCTGACTTCAGTGGATGACCAGTGGTCAAGTGGTGATGGTCTGGAGAGAGATAACCATGGCAAGACATGGATGCATTGGTCAGTGAGGAAAACTGAACCTCTGGAGTGTCTACAGGTATATACAAATACAAAAGGTTTTGATTATCTTGCCACAGGTGTATCTAGGATCATAATGGCCTAAGTAGTGCAACAGGTGGCTGTGAAGATCCTGCTATATTATCAACCATATCTGATAATGTATAATATCCAATAAGCTGTACATAGGATATATGGTGCGCTTGCACACATTAATAGCTCTCACATACAAATACTGTTTCATGAAGGTATGTGAAATATAGATATATATAGATCTATACACTGTACCTTATGTTGACTGTCATACATATTTTATTTCCAGACATTTTTGACTCAAGAAAGTGCAGCTATAAAGGACGATGAAGGAAAAACTGTGATGTTAACTGCAGCAGAGCAGGGTAAGGAAACAATAAATATTCCTGACCCGCTTGGGATATGTAGTCTTGATATCAAAGCCACTGTGCCATTTCACAAAGAATGTCAAAATTAATACAATCTCTCATATTAGTTTATGTAAGAAGTTTTACAGTAATTTATCAAATTCAAATGCATTTACTCTTAATACTATTGAAAATGTCCTATCTCCTGTCTGCAGGCTCTGTGGTCGCCATGAAGACTGTCCTGGAGATTGGTGGGGAAGATGTGATTTATGATGAGGATAACCAGGGCAGAACCAGCCTCCACCTCGCCACCATAGGGGGACATGGGGAGTGCATTAACTTTCTTCTGGAACATGGAGGTAGTGTAGTGCTGGCCTGATCATGACTGGAATATCCACTAATGTTCCAGTTATGTGATATGACCTTATATGAAACACCTTTTTTATAGTGATAACATGGCTTGTTTCATGTTGACAGCGCTTGAAAATGTGTATGCAGCCACATTTTATTTAAAGAGAATAACAAACATAGAGAAGGGCTGATATAGGATCTGGCATACAGCAATTTAATACATTTATATTGTTCAGGGGTATTTGTATTTTTCAAGTATTTGATAGTTTAGCAATCATGTGATGTTCAGTCAGTATACACACCGTCTGCTTGAAAGACTATCAAGTAAAATTAGAATGCATGAAAGACAGGTATATTTTAACCTTCCCTTGTTTTGACACCAGTTGATCTGTCGAAGTGTGACAAGAGCAATGCAACAGCCATGGACTACGCCAAGGCCCGTCACCTGAACTACAGCATGATGATATTGTCTGCATACCAGAGACAGAGAGACAAACAGAACAGGAAAATTCAAGGCAATAGCTCACCTGAGGTATGGGTGACTAGAACACTTCTATAGCATGGGTTTGGAATAATATTATGTGTATACCACAAAATTTAAAGAATACATGTCACTGTTTCAAGGGAAGAAGTGATGTGTTTGTGTAAGCATGTTAAGAGAAATATATTAAAACAGGGGTTGACACCACATATAGTGATTTTCACTTTTGATTTTGACTACATTTTGTCTATAATACGTATTACATATGTTATAATAAGTTTTTGCAAGTTTTAATACTTGGGTCTTTATAACCACACCACATGTGCACAAAATAAACTTCCAAAACCAGAGTATTACTTTTCACATTCCATCGTATATTTTAATAGCATGAACAAAGTGATGAAGAAAACAAAGACAATAACCTGACAAATAAGCACCAGGTGGCTCCTCCCCACCCTCCCAGTCACCCTAAAAGTGGAACCACACCAAAACAGCAAAATGTGAAGCAGCAGCACTGGGGTCACATGGTGGCTCCAGAGGAGCAGGACTCTGGTCACAGCACACAGGGGGAGACAGAGAAACCTAATACCAGTGACAAAGAAATTACTCAGGTAAGAAGTCTTTGAGGTTTATTTTCTAATTTTGTATTGTTTTGTTTATTGCTTCACACTGTCAGAGGAACAGAGTTCCTTACAAACATGGTTTTTGTTGGATATGATGTATATGATTTTGTTCAAAGAAATTTGTTGGATATGACAATGACACATATGAAACTGTTTAAAGAACTACCTGTGAAGCAGATATACTGCAAACACTGCTAGAAGTTGGAAAACAATATCATAAAGTTGTTATGGAGTTTTTCACTCAGATGATTAAAGGCTATTGCCAAATTTTCTGCATGATCTTGATCTCTTTTAACCTCTATTAGCTCTTTATTCTCTCAATACAGATGCAGAAAATCGAAAGCACCCTCATAGAGCTGTAGTGAAGTTTTTATTCCAATATTCAAAAAGACAAAATTTCATTTCTTTTCCACTTTTAATTTTTTGATATATTTAATGGTGTTGTATATTGTACAGATATAAGTATAATTGTCATCATTTGATATTTTCACCTGTTTATTCATTGGTCACCAGGACAATGGTGTTGGGGAGAGTTCTACAGGTCAGATGATGAGAATGGAGAGTGTGGAGTCCACGGAAGATGAGAACAATAATGAAGGCAAACAGCAGCCTGGCCAGGAGCAAGCACCAGATGGTATGTCTTCTGGAATAATGCACAATGACCAGGCTAAAGGCAGCACTTAGCAGGCTGTGGATTTTCTAAATTACAAAATTTAAAGACAAACAGAATCTAAATGTATTTTTTCATAACATAATTAAAGACAAACAGAATCTAAATGGTTAAGTGAAAAGCCCAGTGTACAGAACTCATCACATTAGCAATGTTTGGTTCGAATGTATATATACCTGTGAGTCATTTGAGCATACAGGTATATAAACAAATGTGTGTGTGTGTGTGCAATCCTGTGTATTAACATATATTTCATTGCAGATGAGGAGGACCATTCTGTCAGTATAGGTGGGATGGATGTGTCAGATTGTGAAGGGGAAGAAGAACAGAGGGAGAGGCCAACTACACCACACCCACAGAAGAGACACCTGCCATCCCCACCCACAGTACCACCAAGACACCATATACCTACACCAGTAAGATACTGATCTTATAGATTAATACATTTATTTTTTAATTAATTGATTAATTTATATTTATTTATTGTAATTTTACTAAATTATTTGCATTTGTTATTATTTAGTGATGAATTTAAAAATCTGTTTAATTTTTAATTTATCAAAATCAAATGAATGTGATCTCAATAAAATAATATATAGCAGTTAATGCTAGAAACGTCTGTTTGGTATTATGGTATACATTATTTGGGGGGTAATGGCCTAACAGGACTTAAATATATGATACCAGAATGTAATGAGGTATGGCACAGATCAACAAATCAATTTTTTTATTCAAACAACAAAGTTCAAACTAGCATGTAAAGTGTTTGTTTTTTTTTCTACTTCTCTGGCTAAATCAAAAATTAACCTATAAACAAAAAATTAGTGTGACTGTAGCCATGAGAAAGTTGTTAAGACAAATTTTGAATAGACCATTTTTTGTCCCTAGACGGGATCCGCTCTGTCTCCAGTACCAGTGCCTCCAGTACCAACCCAGGCAGTGGGCCAGACCTCACACCCACCACCACTGAAAGATGTCCGGGCAGGAAACCAGAATAACTTACAAGGTGGGTGAACATTGCATTGCACTGTATAAAAAACATTTATTCTATAGTAGACTGCACATTGTGTTGGTTGAGAACTGTTTATGCCTCTCATGTGTATTGTCTATTTTCATCAATGCTGTACCAGCCTCAGAATTTTATAGCTTCTTAAAATTCTTCAATTTTTGACAAAAAATGAATTCTGCGTTATGGTGTAAAAAGTTCACTGCAAACTCATTAGTGTGTTCCATGATCTAATATGACTAATATGGAGACTGACTAGAGTGTATTGTTCTGTATCCAGGCCCAGCTGTTCCTGAACCCAGAAAGATGCCAGTGCCACCCCCACAGTTGATGCCCCTGGGGACCCCCATGAGCCAGGAGGACCCAAACAAAGGCAATAAGAAAACAAAAAAGAAGAAGAAAGGGAAAGATATGAAGGGGGAACAAGGTGGTGCAGAATTGGCCCCTGTCCGGGGATACACAGCCCCTATTCAGGCCCCTTTGCCACAACATCATCCAGTTTCCCCAGCTGGAGGCCTCCAGCCCCCCAAGGGTGGCCCAGGGGTGCACATGCAGAAAAATGGACCACCCCAAGACCAAAGGTAAGATTTGAAAATCTGGAGCCATACTATACAGCATTTTTTTTTACTGATTTCGATGCTTTTTTTTTCTTTCATTTATTTGAAGTTGATAAGGAACATTGGCTGTAAAATAGTAGCTGTAGCTGCAAGCAGAATATCTTACAAGATAGGTGAAGATGTCTTTTGAATAAAACAAAACCTGTTTATTCCATGAACTGCAAATTTTGTTGGTTGAGAACACTTGCCTCTTATATGAAGTGTTGTCTACTTTCATCAGTGCTACACCAGCATTAAAATTATACAGCTTCCTAAATTTTTTTCAAATGCAGAGTTTTTAGAATTTCTTTTAGGAGAATTACTATTTATCAAAAAGTGACATTAACATTAAGATTATCAAGACATCATATTCAACTTCATCAATTAGACAGTATGCAGAGAAAACTTAATTAAGAAGATCGGCATCTGTGTAATCTTATTAAGCATTATTGTAAATTGAAAGATGTCTAGATAAACAGCAGGAAACAACCTGTTCCTTCAAGTTTTCATGCACTTATATTTCAGTGGATGTTGTTCATGTTTAAACAATATGGTGGGTTTGGCAAAATGACTTTTAAATGTAATATAAGTGGTATGAATAATATATATATATGGTGACATGTGCAATGTGACCACTCCAGGATGTCTCCAGAGGGTCAGTGGTTTGATGACCAGCAGCAACCTCCACCCCGCCCAGGTGCCCCTCTGCCCCCTCACTCTCCTCTCCCAGCCCCACCCCATGGGCGGCCTGCAGGTGCCCCTCTCCCCCCTCCAGCCAGAAATGGTGGCGGCCAGCAGCCTCTCCACACAGTACACCAAGGACCCAGGCTCCAGAGAATGGAGAGTGAGGAGAATCTGTCTGCACTAGACCTGGATGACAGTGAGAGCAGTGGCCAACAGCTGGCTATGTATGAACAAGGTAAACGAGGAAAAATGGTTTATATTGTTATTGGAGATGAGCTAAGTGTATTGGAAAAAAGGTTTTTTGGTTGATAGAGGTGCATGTGTGATTTATCAGAAATAAAAGAAAAAACTCAATAATTCATCAGAAATGGTGCTTTTGTATAACTACAAACTATCCATGTAGGTATATCAGTTATATAGCGATTATATTTTTCTGTAAAAAAA